AATAAACTTTAATGTGTATTTTCTTCTGCTTCATATTCCAAAAAACATTTCCTGAAAGTAATTTTACAAAGAAAAATTTTAAAACCTAAAATTTATAACCTTTCTCAGGTGTTTAATCTCCTTTCCAATATTTTGTCTTTCAAAGTCACAAATACTTGCTGCAACCATACTTAAACCCTTATTATAGAAATGGAATTCACTGAAATCACAACAGTTCCAAATAAGAATACTAGTAATATGATACATATGTAAATTTACTATCTAATGCAATCTGACACATTAAATTCTGGCTATAAGATTTAGATAACTATGTATGTACTTATGCAAGTATCCGAAACTAAGAGTTTAGAACCAGCAAAACTGTTTTACTAGCATTTGTCCCAAAAGTTATCAACTACACTACAAACAGGCTATTTAATAGTAACTTTTATCAAATATTTGCACCTACACTGGCCCTGAAAGGCTCCAAATTCCCTATATATGTTAGTAAATAGTCTATTTGTCATATTAAAAAAACTATCGTTTTTATAACTGAGATTTAATAGTAGTGACTACTATATCAGAAGACATACATTTTTACTTCAAGCGTTTTCTCTTCTCAGTAATAAACTTTGCTTCCCACCCAAACATTACTTTTAAGTTAGAAGAGCAGACTCTGGATCTAGCTGGCTCTGTCATTTACTAGCTGTACAACTTTGGGCTAATAAGTTACTTCAACTTCTTTTTGCTTCAAATCCTTATTTATAATTTTGAAGTTGTTGGAAAGTTCATGATTAAATGAGTGAATATATGTAGTGTTAAAACAGTTGCCAGGATGTGTTCCCCTGGGGGAAAGAAAAGAAAAGTACCTGCCAAAAGTGTGTATTTAATCAGTGTTAAGAATAAAACAATAGGGGGAAGAGAAAATTTCAGACCAAATAGGCTGAGAAAACTACTCACTAGTACCCAAAACCAGAATACAAAACCACTGCAAACCCAGCATACTTAGCTCAATTTTCATAATACAATAAATATATACTAGAAAGAAAAAAAGGACAGGAAACAAACTATCTGAAAAGTTAATATTCAACAGGGTCGGAAGGGAATTCCCAAAAAGCACAGAATCACCTATGAAGTTAGCCTCCTGACTCCCCTTCCCCAAAAATCAATCTCAATCTAAGCTTCTACATCTAACTACCAATTTACAGGAAATCAGGAAAATCTAGAATATGAGAAACTCTGCAAGACAAATGACCTGGTTTCTTCAACAAAGTGCAGAGAAAGAGAGAGAGAAGAAACATACAAATTAAGAGTCTTGAAAGAAAATCAGTCAATTACAGTGTGTAGGGCCTGGGGTCTGCTTAAAAAGAAAAAACAAACAAACAAAAACTAGGAAAGTCAACAGAAACATTGAATCTAAGAAAGAAAAACAGAGCAAACAACTCCATGTGCAATGATCTGTTCCGATTTCACCCCATTGGTAAATGGATGTACATTAAAGATAATTTCAGACAATTTATATTTAACAATTATGAAGTGCTTGCTATTGTCAGGCATTGTTTTAAGAACTCTACAAATATTTTATTTGTTAACCTCAATAACCCTATGAGAAGGTACCACTTTCCCCATGTAACAGAGGAAGAAACAGGCACAGAAACCTTACCTAAAACTCTCCCCAAGTCATAAAGCTGTCGAGTGACAATGCTGAGATTCAAACTCAGGCTATAAAGTTGGTACCCTTAATTACTATATCATACTGTCTACATGATGTAGTGGAAACAGCTCTTTGGAATCAGATAAAACTGCCTGAATACCCATCTCTCCTTATGTCATATCAATTATTTATTTAACTTCTCAGAACCTCTGTACACTCACTTGTAGAAGAGAAGGGCACCATACATAGTTAAGGAATAGAGAGATTATATATTGGACTATATTACAGGCTTTAGCTTATGAAACCCACAATAATGGTTCTCACTACCCTTCCCATCATACCTGCAGCGACTAATTAAAAAGTCGAGCTAATAATTCATAAACACAGAGCAGAAACACTGGAATAGCTCTACCTTTTAATTAACTAGCTAAAGAGCACCCAAACCAACTTTTCAAGATAGTTATAAATATAAACTTTAAGAATAGCAATAATTCAAAAAGGAATATTTTACATAAAATTTAAACTTATAATCAGCAGAAACAAGAGTTTGCAATTTAAAGTATAGCCAAACTTAAATTTTTTTTGAAAACAAACAAAACCTATTCCACATAAATAGACCTACTGCTCAGAAAAGTGCACTAAAATTTTGTTTATGCTGGTGATTCTTTAGCCTGATGTCTGGTTAATATAAGGCAAAATAGTTTTATCATAGAAAAGGAAGATAGCCCTAGCTGGTTTGGCTCAGCGGATAGAGCAATGGCCTGCGGACTGAAGAGTCCTGGGTTTGATTCCAGATAAGGGCACATGCCCAGATTGCTGGCTCGATCCCCAGTAGGCTGCATTCAGGAGGTAGCCGATCAATGATTCTCTCTCATCATAGATGTTTCTATCTCTCTCTCCCTTTCCCTTCCTCTCTGAAATAAAAAAATATGTATTTAAAAAAGAAAGAAAAGGAAGGTAAATTTAATTAATATGTTATAAAATCAACTTGAGCCCTGACCGGTTTGGCTCAGTAGATAGAGCGTCGGCCTGCGGACTCAAAGGTCCCAGGTTCGATTCCAGTCAAGGGCATGTACCTTGGTTGCAGGCATATACCCAGTAGGGGGTGTGCAGGAAGGAGGCAGCTGATCAATGTTTCCCTCTCATCGATGTTTCTAACTCTATCCTTCTCCCTTCCTCTCTGTGAAAAAATCAATAAAATATAAAAAAAAATCAACTTGAAAGACAGCTATGTTGTTAACCTATGAATATTTTTGTGTTTATTTGTTATACCACCAAGTTCTTTGGTGGCAGGAAATGTTTTAAGGTCATCTAGGTATTCCTAGCACCCAGCATGCTGATACTGGCACCATACATAGTTCACCCTCTTGCAGTACCTCTTCTTCTTCTTCTTCTTTTTTTTTTTAAATTTATTGGGATTCCATTTGTTAATTGCATAGGTTTAAGGTGTACAATTCTCTAATACATCATCTGCATATTGCACTGTGTTCACCACCCCAAGTCATGAGCTTCTGCATTTCTTAAAAAGGAGAATAATTGACCCGTTCTGTGTAAAAAATGAAAAATAGCCCTGTCTGGTTAGCTCAGTTGGTTAGAGCATCATTCCGATACACCAAGGTTGTGGGTTCTATCCCAAGTCAGTGCACTTACAAGCATCAACCAATGAATGCACAATTACTAAAGTGAAACAACAAATGGATGTTTCTTTCTCTCTCTCTCTCTCAAAAAAAAAAAAAAAAAAAAAAAAAAAGATAAAAGAAAAAAGCCCTAGATGTTTTGGCTCAGTGCATAGAGCATCAGTCTTCAGACTGAAGGGTCCCGGGTTTGATTCTGGTCAAGGGCACATGCCAGGGTTGTGGGTTCGATCTCCAGTGGGGGGGGCGGGGGCATGCAGGAGGTAGCCTATCAATGATTTTCTCTCATCACTGCTGTTTATTTCCCTTTACTTTTCTATCTCTCCCCCCCACCCCCCCTCCCTCTTCCTCTTTGGGGAAAAAAAAAAGCAACAAAAAGAATTAAAAAATAAATAAAATAAAAAATAATTTGCCCAAAAGATCAATTAAAGGCTGATTATTTGCTTCAGTAAAGGAAAATAACTATTAGAATCCTTTAAATATATCTGCCTAGTTTATTTGAAATCACCTATAAAAATCCAATTTACATAACAATAGCAATATTTTACCTCTTTAGTTAAGATATACTTTTGGACAATAAATGATTAGCTGTGCTTATTGAACTATTGAAGTTTGATTATAGTCAGCTTTGTTTTGAGCAGACTTCAGCGGGAAATAAAATTCAGAATTTGATTAATAGTCATTTCTGAGGCAGTATTATCTATGCACCACATAGAATTTTTTACAACCCATTTGAAAAACCATATATACACACACACCAAAATTTATCTTTTCTATGGACTACTTTTCCAGCTGATCCTTTACAATTTTGTGTGTTCTCATCTTTCCAATAGCATAAATACTAGCTGGATGAGTCTCTGGGCTTTTTTTCCTCAACTAAAAAATGAATGGGTAAAACAATATTTACCTCATAGGAATAATAAACTAATAAATGTAAAGCACTTCAAGGAGGAGTCAGTTCCTGGCATTAGAGTTATCACTGTTGTTAAGTGTATACACTTTAATCATAAAACATATGCAATCTGCTGAAGTCTGATTCAGAATTGTTTTATCTTTAACTGAGCATTTGAAAATGAATTTGTAAGCAGAAATGTGCCCCAGATCTCTTACTATTCCAAACTTATTAAAATTGTTGTGCTCGCTTCGGCAGCACATATACTAAAATTGTTGCATGTGCCCCCTCCTTAGCCAAGCTTTTAAACAGCCACTGATAGAGAAAACTAGTTGAAATCACTCAAAATAAAAAAGGCTTCATAATACCCCCCCCGCCCCAAATTTCAAGAGCTCTGATAGCATACTATCCAGTATCAATTGAAAGAATATATCACCATATACAAACCATTTGAGTACCCTGAAAAAAAAATTACAATAAGGTCGCATCTAAGTTTACGGGGTCCAGTAGGAAACGATGACAAAAAAACCAAACTGACTTGTAATTTCTATAAAGCACTTTAAATGTTTTTCTTTTTTCGTAAAACCACCAAAATAAGAACAAAAAATCCTAAAAAATAAATGTTTGTATTGAAAGAATGTAGGAGAGTAAATTGACACTGACTCTCTCGTGGGGGCGGGGGGGGGGGGGATGACAGCTTATTTAACTATTAATTCCAAAGTTCTCATTCACATTAGCATTTTATTATCGTTTAGACAGATTACAAGTCGAAACTCAAGCACCTTCCCAAACACTTAAGTTAACTGTTTCTGGTTTACATTCTCTGCCTTTTTGTTTTCAGTTATACTTCTGGGTCTTATAGTAAAAAAAATAAATAAATAAAGAGCAAACAAAAAGACAGGCTTTTGTCTAAAAGGACACAACCACCAGGCGCTCCACGGCTGAAGTTTGTTTTCACTTGTCTTCACTCCTCTAATGAACGACCCAAACTTAACGGCACGCAGGTTCCCTTTCGGGTTATTTCACAGAAAAGGGCTCCGCGCCCCGAGGACACCGTCACTGTACCCGGGAAGGGATGACACGGAGAGCGACTCGTTACTGAACTAAAACATGACCCACCCACGGACTCCGTTTTTTTCCGGAGCAATTAATCATATCAAAGAGCAAGTTATTTCAACAAATATGACAAACCAACCTCAGAGCACAAAGCTGGGAGATAAAATTAACACCACAGCACCATTTCAAAACTATAAGCAATGACAACACACAACCCCCGCACCCACTCTTACGTAAACTTCTGGAGTAAGCAAACTTCTTTGGCCTCACGTTTGTTTTCACCTACCGAGGCCTTTTCAAGATAAGACACCAGTTACAAGACAACCGAAAGATCAAAAGATGAAGCTGTCCCCGTAGGAGAAACAACTAAAAATGTAAGACGATTTAACGTATTTTAAGTTCCCGAAGCTCAGGGCACTTCCCCAAGCTACAGCCATTTTAGATTCAGCGTTTCTTTTGAATTTCACCGGGGGTCTGGGGGTGTGTGTGTTAGAGGTAGATTTAAAACAGAAAAAACAAAAACAAAAACAAAAACCCCCACAAAACATCTCCTCATACTTCAAGATCTACCAGCTTTTTTCCGAGGGTCGTGATGGTAGGTGCTCAACCAAGGAAAACACCTCGCTGCCAAGGAGAACCAGAAGGGTGGGGGTTAAAGGTTTTCCCCCTCACACACACCGCATTTGACTAACACGATCATTTCCTCCTTATTATTTTCCTTCACTGGAAAAAAGCCCTCGGCTCTCCTCTAAGAAGAAAAGGAAACCCGTAAACCAAGTCACTCCGCCGCCAGGCGGAGACGCCTGGTGAGGAGCCCGAGAGCCGCAGGTGAGCGTTGCGACCCGCAGACCCGAGTTGAAGCGGGACCCCTACGCCGCGGCGCCGCCCGCGTCCGGAGCCCACGCGCAGGGGGAGGTGCCGGTGCCCACCACACGACCCGCGGGCTCCGCTCCCCTGGCCCGGGCCCACCTCCACCCAACCACCTGTGTGCGAGCCGCCTCCAACTAGTTTCAACAGACGGCCGGGCAGGCAGCGGGCGGAGTCCCGCGCCGGGAAAACCCTCGATCTCCTACTGCCCCGCGGTCGGGAGCTCCCACTCACTGGGCAGCGGCCGGGCTGCAGCTAGGCACGCGACACCGCGGTGTCTGAGGACGCGTCCTCGGCTTCCTGGTCCCGCAGAGCTGGAGAGCCCACAACCATAACAAAGCTCTTCCCAAAATGGCTGCCCGGCCCACACTGCCCAGGAGGGGCCCGGCGGGTGGAGGGGGAGGAGCGACGCTCGGCCCAGCCCGCCCCCATTCAACACCGCCGCACACACACGCCCACTCCCAACGCCCACTAGGGACGCACGCGCACGCGCCCTGCTCGGGTGACCCTGCCGGCGCCCCACGCCGGCAACGTTCGGGGCACGTGAGCGGCGGTTATTCCCTGCCCCGCCCCCAGCTCCCTCCGCCTCGACCAGAGGCGGGGCCCGCGGACTTTGGTGCTCCCCCTCGTCCCCCGGCCCAACCCTAGAGCCGGGACGCGTGTCAATGAGTGCGTGGGGGTGTGTGTCTATATGTACCCGCCTTTTCCTGCTCCTCCGTTCTTCACCCTCCCACACCCCGTCCCCAAATTACCTCCACAAGGACTAGCAAACCCGTTTCGTAGGAGCGTGCGTTTGCCGACCCTTCCCCACCTTCCGCTCCTTCGCGAGCGCGTGTCGTTAAGACTCCAGCCCCCCGCGGGCCACACGACCGGGCTCGGGAGGCCAGCGCTCCGGCGCGCGACGCGCTACCCGCCGGGAGTGGTAGTTCCGCTGCCGGCTGGCGTCACGCCCTGGACCGGCACAGTGCGGCTTTCTGGCCTCTGCTCAGCCGAGAAGCTGTTCCCCAAACTAAATAAAGTCTCATGGGTATTGCACGACGGGAAGGGGCGGCGCTGCCAAGACGCACAGAGGAGGAAATAAAAGCGAAAGCCTATCGCACCCAGAAGCGGTTACAGTTACGAAGAGTTTGCTGTGAGCCCATCCAGCAATGGGAGCTACACCACACGATGACCCGCAGCCGGGAAGCTGGGCCACGCAGAATCCGGAGGGATGGAGAAACTGCCTAGCGTGGGCCTCTTGAGCTGTCCTTTTACTTGGCTTAAGAAGGCCACTCAAATTGCTTGGTGCTGTTCCTCTTTGATAGATTGTAAAATGGAGAAGGGAAAGAACTCGCCCAAGGTCACATAACCGACAAAAATTAAAGCCAAGGGTGAGAGGATGAATGATCTTTTTGAATCACCCCCAAAGCTCTTACTATTACACCTTTCATGAGCATGAAAATCCTGCCCCTTGTGCTCTTTAAAAAAAATTATTTATTGACAGTATTACAGATGTCCATTCCTCCTTTCTGTCCCCCTACACCCAGTCCCAGCCCCACCCCAGGCCTTCCCCACACTGTACGTCCATGGGTTATGCATATATGCATATATGTCCTTTGGTTAATCTTTTCCGTCCTCTCCCCCGTCCTCCCCGTCTTTCCTTAAAAAAAAAAAAAAAAAAAAAGCTGTATTGACTTCATTGAGAGAGAGAGAAACATCCATGAGAGAGAAAAATTGATCAGCTGCCTCCTGCACGCCTCCCACTGGGGATTGAGCCCACAGCAGTGACCTGATGCATGGTCCCACGCTCAACCTCTGAACCACACCAGTCGGGCTCCCCTCATGTGTTTCTCTTTTTAAAAAATACATTTTATTGATTTTTTACAGAGAGGAGGGGAGAGGAATAGAGAGTTAGAAACATTGATGAGGGAGAAACATCAATCAGCTGCCTCCTGCACACCCCCTACTGGGGATGTGCGGGAAACCAAGGTACATGCCCTTGACTGGAATCTAACCCGGGACCCCTCAGTCCGCAGGCCGACGCTCTATCCACTGAACCAAACTGGTTAGGGCTCCCCTCATTTCTTAATGAAGGTTCCAGGCCTTAGCAAAGACAATGGAAATAAAAAGATTTTTTTCTTCATACATTGGTGTCCCATACAAAACTGGAATTCTGTTAATATGGAAGATAGAGAAATGGATATTGGATAGGCAACTAACACTATGTTCCATATTTACTTTTGCTTATTAGGACCCTAAATCGCAGTGAGATATGCCCCGTAGATCTGAGAAACCCTGTTGTTATGCACACTAAAATATGAGTTCCAGAGATAACAAGCAATTTGGCCAACTCACACATAGTCTAGACTCCAAATCTCTCCTACCGAACTGCCTAGGAAACCTGGAATAGAGAGGCAAAGACCCGTCAGGTACCCTGCAGATTTCAAAAGCCGGATTTCACTAAATTCAGAGAATGACCCAAGACGGAAAGGAAAGCCCAAAGTAGGAACCACTTAGCGCTGCTCACGATTCTACCCGGATTCATTTTTTTCAGTTGACAGGAAGTGAAGGACTATAACCCCACTTGCCGGAAGTGCCTTTTCGGGAGTGCTTGGCTGTTCTTGCAGCTCAGGTTTTCATCTCTCCGCGCGACACTGGCAAGTGAGTAGTAAGGCTGCTGCCAGAAATGCAGGTTGGAAAGGGGGGCAATCGGGGTTGGCAGTAAACCGGAGACACGGGCATTGTTGGGGAAAGTTCACCGAGGATCCGAAAGTTCAGGCTCCATCTCCTTTTCTCCGATGTGGGCTCTGAGGCTTGCAGTTTGCAACTTTTTCTTTTGGGGCAGTGGGAATACTGAGCGTTTCGCCTGAATTGAAGCGGATTAACCCTTGGGTCTGTTCTTAATTCCCTAACCAATTGGCCGCCCCCGGGTTTTAGGCTATCATTTATTCGCTTGAACTCCCGAGTTGGAAAGCACATATATCACAGTGCATAGAGAGTTCCAAAGCTGGAGAGAGCGCCGGGATTTTAAGTGGGGTGGTCCAGAAGGCCCTTAAGCAGGTGATTTTGCATAAAAGTGATTGTGTGGGCCCTGCAGAGAAATGTGTGTCCGGGAGTTACGAGGTGTATGTGGTGGGTGTCATTTTAAGATCTACTCAGAGGCCCAGGATAACTTAACTCACTACTTGCTTCCTATGTATAGAATGACATTGACCAGTATACAGGAATTCCCAGATTTGTGATCAAGAAATTAGTTCATTGCCTTGATTAGAGCGTCTTTCCCACAGTCAAGGTTGCGGGTTCCATCTCAAGTCAGGGCACATACAAGCATGTGTAAGTGGAACAACAAATCAATGTCTCTCTCCCTCCCCCCCTCTCTAAAAATCAGTAACTAAAAACAACAACGCACAAATATAAGAAGTTAGTTCATTAAAATTGTTAATGGAGAGGCAACTGTGGGTTTGGGATTTAAAAAAATTTTTGGTTTGTGAATTTTTTAGACACCTCATTTTTCTGGTTAAGAGTGGGGAACACACACACAAGCAAACAAAAAAACGGGGGGAAAAGAACAAAGAATGGGACTCACATAAGACATGGATTCATATTCTCAGTCACTTTACTGGCTACTTATATTATGTAAGTAAAATGAATCAATAATAAAAAAGCATTAAAAAAAGAATGAGGAAATAAGAATTTAAAATTTTAAAATATATTTTTTTATTTTTTAAATGTATTTTTATTGATTTTAGAGTGGAAGGGAGAGGGAGAGAGAGAGAGAAACATCAATGATGAGAGAGAATCATTGATGGGCTGTCGCCTGCACACCCCCTACTGGGGTTGAGCCTGCAACCCAAACACGTGCCCTTGATCGGAATGGAACCCGGGACCGTTCATTCAGTCTGCAGGCTGATGCTCTAGCCACTGAGCCAAACCAGCTAGGGTAAAAAAATTTTTTTTTGTTCCTCACAATGGATATTTTCCCATTGATTTTTAGAGAGAGTAGAAGGGAGGGCGAGAGACAGAAACATTGATGTGAGAGAGACACATCGACTGGTTGCCTCCAGCATGCAACCAGACCAGACCAGACCAAGCCAGGCCGGGAGGATCGAACCTGCAACCTAGGTATGTGCCCTTGACCAGAATCGGACCCGGGACCCTGCAATCTGCAGGCTGACACTCTAGCCACTGAGCCAAACTAGCTAGGGCAGCAGATATTTTTTGAGTGCTTTCTTTGTGTTAGGGACAGTTCTTAGCTCTTTACATGCATCAAATGATTTAATTTTTACAGCGATCCTGTGTAGTTATTATAATCCTTATCTTCAAGGTGAATGAACTGCATCATAGCAAGATTAAATGCTTGTCTGAAGTCATAGCTAGTAAGTGGTGGGGCCAGGATTCCAATCTAGATTGTTTGACTCCAAAGTTTGTGCTCTAGCTTACCAGGTTATACAGTCTCTCAGCACTAAGATGATGAGGTTTTTGTAATTAATTAGTTTTTGTATATCAAACACAGTGTCTGGTTCACAGCTGAATTGTATTATCATCATTATTTTGAGCTATAAACTCCTAAGTCCCAAAATAAATAAGGGGAAAAAAAGAACATGGATGCTATGACCTTCAGTTTTATTTTTTTAAAAATATATTTTATCGATTTTTTACAGAGAGGAAGGGAGAGAGAAAGTTAGAAACATCGATGAGAGAAACATCGATCAGCTGCCTCCTGCACACCCCCTACTGGGGATGTGCCTGCAACCAAGGTACATGTCCTTGACCGGAATCGAACCTGGGACCCTTCAGTCCGCAGGCCGATGCTTTATCCACTGAGCCAAATCGGTTAGGGCTGACCTTCAGTTTTAAAGATGAGAAATTGGCACTTCAAGGAAGCAATTTATCTAAGGACACACAGCTGGGAAATGATGGTTATCTGTAAAATCTAGATCTCTGTGCATTAACATTTTCAGAGAATGAAAGGATCTATTAACATGTTTTTGATTTTTTAAAAATGATAATGATTGTTTTCAAAGGAAACTTATATAGAAGAAATTCTCGTTACTTTATTATTTTTTTAAAATATATTTTTATTGAATTCAGAGATGAAGAGAGAGATAGAAACATCAATGAGAGAGAATCATCGATTGGCTGCCTCCTGCATGCCCCCCACTGGGGATTGAGCCTGCAACCAAGGCATGTGCCCTGACCAGTAATCGAACTGTGACCTCCTGGCTCATAGGTCGACATTAAACCACTGAGCCATGCCAGCCAGGCAATTCTCAAGTTACTTTAAGAAAACTATGTATAAAATGAAGAAAATTAAGTGACATCTATTTGGTTGTTGTTGTTTTTTTGACATCTTATTTTGTACACAGCAACATGCTTCTGATTCAGCGTGCCCACTTAGCTATAAAAATACATTAATCAGAACTGCCTGGCATCTTCCTGAGCAAGACTTCATTAGGTCCCAGTATGCTTCACTTCATCCGGAAGTTTTCTCAAGCATCTTCAAAGGTTGGTTTATCTAGCAAATATTTGAGCACTACTTGCCAGACATGATTTGGCTGGGCAATAGCAGTGAAAAAGAAGACAAAAAAAAAAAAATCCTTTCCTCTTATTTGGATATGTGTGTGTGTGTTTGTAAAGTACAAATAAGTAAAATATTTAATATATCAAGTGGTAAGTGCTATGGAGTACTATAAAGCAGGAGAAGGGAATACGACTTGTCAAAAATAGACTTACAAAGGGGAGGGTGGGGGGAAGGGGGAGATCAACCAAAGGACTTGTATGCATGCATATAAGCATATCCAATGGACACAGACACTAGGGGGCTGAGGGTATGAACTGGGTGGTGGTGGGGCAATGAGGGGATAAGGACACATATGTAATACCTTAATCAATAAAGACTAAAAAATAAATTAAAAAATAGACTTATGACTGCACTTTATATAAATGGGGTGGTCAGAAATTAGGGAATGGGCCATGCAGGTAGTTCAGAGAACATTCTAGACTAAAGGAAAAAAGAGGTCCCAAGATGGAATCATTCCTAGCATTTTGAGGAATCACCAAAATTCTCAAATAACTTTCATTTTTGCTTTCATCAAACGCTTCTTGAGTTACTTGTAATCTATTTACTAACTGAAGTCTGGAATCTGCTTACTAAAGCATAGAATCAACAGAGAAGTTTATTTGGTCATATAACATGAAAGGCATAAGGTTTTTTTTTTAAGGCAAAGAAAAAATATGGTCCTGGTTCTCAAGTCTACTCACAATTTTAATTCATGGTGAGAATTACAATGGAAGTACACATAGGGTACTTACTTATAGGAGCATTAAATCAGATTGGAGAAAGTTTTTGTTTTTTTAATATATTTTTATTGATTTCAGAGAGGAAGGGAGCGGAAGAGAGAGACAGAAACATCAATAATGAGAGGGAATCATTGATTGGCTGCCTCCTGCACACCCCACACTGGGGACCGAGCCCACAACCGAGGCATGTGCCCTTGGCCAGAATTGAACCTGGGACCCTTCAGTCAGCAAGCTGACGCTCTGTCCACTGAGACAAATTGGTCAAGCAGATTGGATAAAGTTTTAAGCTGAATTTGTAAAAACAGTTCCAAAATAGAAAAGTAAGCCAGAATGCTAGGTAGAGACATATAGAAAAGCATGGAACTATGAAAAGTATGCAGTGTTCATAAAGCTATATTGGAAGGTACACTGCTTTTCTCTACATAAAATAGCATTGCCTCAGTGATTAGTGCAACTGCTTTTGCAATTTATAAGTCCAAGAGGCAGTTTAGAATGCCAAATACTAAATATCCAGTCTTTACCTGTTCTTCTTTGAGATATTTTCTCATGGGATAAGATTAGTGGTAAGCTAAAACATAAGTGACTTCTAGTCAGTAGTTTCTTTTGTATGTGGTATAGCTGTTAATAGTCTTAGCCAGCAATAACATCACTCTGTAGTCCAACCTTTCTGTAAAGTTCGATGTGTTAACAGAAAGCAGTTAGTTTGTTTTTATATTGTTCTAGTTTGGCATTAACTAAGACATTTGGTGATACACATTTTTAAAAATCCGCTTTTGTCTTCTGGTTTATTTTCTCTACGTAGATGCCGAAGTACCCTTTCACAGTTGGACTAGGAGCCAGCAGGAGAATAGAAACACTTTCTCTCAAGGCATGTCTCCAGCAGAACTTTTCACCTTTGTTTCTAAGGCCTAGGCCTTCCTCATCATTTCCAGTGTGTATGAGCAAGACACAATACTATCATACTTCCCCATGCAACTTTAAGAAGAAGCAGAAGGAAGAAGTGCTTCCAGCCAGGCCACCGAAAACGATCACATACCTGCCTGACAGCCCAAAGCCAGCATTATACATATCTCTGGCGGGACTAATCCCTTTCCTTGCTCCACCACTGATCATGGTGATGGTAAAGACTTATATCCCCGTATTAGCTTTTACTCAGATGGCTTATGGAGCCAGTTTCCTATCTTTCTTGGGAGGGATCAGATGGGGTTTTGTTCTGCCAGAAGGTAGTCCAGCCAAACCAGACTACCTAAATTTAGCTAGTAGTACAGCTCCTGTCCTGTTTTCATGGTTTGCCTTCCTTGTTTCTGAAAGGCTCAGTGAAGCTATACTCACAGTAATAATAGGTTTGGGGATAGCATTACATAATGAACTTTTTCTTTTGCCAGATTATCCCAATTGGTTCAAAGCCCTGAGGATAGTAGTCACTTTAGTGGCCTTTTTATCGTTTGTAATCACTTTACTACTTAAAAATATTTATCCAGAGAAAGGACCCCAGAAACCTGGTCAAGGAGAATAAATATAAAACTACTCAATAAATGATGTTAGCACGTTGGCTACAGCCTTGTAAGGTTGTTTTACATATCCTTTTTCTTCTACTGTTTAGCTCTTTGTTTCCCACCAATGGTAATTTAGTCATTTTTTTCACTTCTAAAAAATCTATTTCATAGGAATTATATGATCAACAGCTTGAAAATCCTTAAGTCCTTTTTATGTCATATTAGGTTAGAGTTCTCATTCAGTGTTAGGAATTATATAGTGGTCCACTCATTTCAAAGTTTTATTTTGAAGGGAAAAAAAAGTAAAATTAAAAGCAAAAGATGGAAAAATCCCTTTTGCTAGAATCTATGATCATTGAAAAACACACATACTCTCCCATTTCAAGAGGAAAACTTCAATCCATGAATGTCTGAAAACAATAAGCAGTTCCAGGGTAGAGTTTTCATTGCAGTTGCCCCGGGGATTGCATTCCCAAGCTCATTTTACCTGGTACAACCTAGTTATATGAGCTGAGAGGATCTGTGGCTCTAAAGTCACTTGGGAGTAGTGTCACGAGGGGAAGTCATGTTTAAAGAGAATCTGGACACTTTTTCTAGTTTTTATCAGGATATTTGGCAGAGTATAGATGCAACTTATCACCAAATAGATCACCAGCAGGTCAAAATTATTTAAAAGATAAAGCTGTTAGTACATAAACTTAGGAAAAATCAAGCTGGAGCCATCTTGATATTCTAATGAGCAGGGCTATCTAATGTTACATGTTAACTCCCAGAAAGCTTTTTCAAAACAGCAAAAACATCACCTTAAGACTCTAATTTGAAAACCTTGTCTTTTGAGATTCTTAGTCTCATAAAAAAAGGAATTTATGTAAGAATATAAATAAGGAAATGATTTCACCTGGTATATTATCTTTGTATAAGTATTCAAATATCAAATTTCATAAGTAAATTATATACATATGACTTCCGTGCTAGTGATGATTCTTGCAGTGAAGAGATGAGAGTCTAGATTGGTAGCCTGTTTACTTTCTTACACACCTGTTATGTATTGAATTGTGTGTTGAAGTCTTAATCCCCAGTATTTAAGAATGTGACCTTATTTGGAGGTAGGGTCTTTACAGAGGTAATAACTATTAAAATGAGGTCATGAGAGTAGGCTATAATGTAATATTACTGGAATTCTTATAACAAGGGAAAATTTAGAGACATGTATACAGGGAGAATGCCATGTGAATGTGAAGATGGCTATCTGTATGTCCAGGAGTGAAGCCTGGAACAGATCCCTCCCTCAAAGCCTTCAGAGGAACCAACTCTACCAACACCTTGAGTCCAGACTTCCGGCCTCTGAAACTATGAGACAATAAATTCTGTTGTTTAAATTTCTGTGCCCTGCTAGTGTGGCTCAATGGTTGAGCATCAACCCATGCACCAAGAGGTCATCAGTTCAATTTCTGATCAGGGCCCATTGTGGGTTTGATCCCCAGTAGGGGACATGTAGGAGGCAGCTAATCAATGTTTCTCATTCATGTTTCTATCTCACTTCCTCTCTAAAATCAATAAAAACATATTTTTAAAAATTTCTCTGGTACTTTGTTACAGCAGCCCTAAGCAAACAAATATAACACCACAGAGCTAGAGCTTATTTGGATCATTAACCCTACCAGACCGCTGTACCGATTTTTCGGTAATTTCCGAATTTGCCGCTATATCGCTGTACCTAATTTTCGGTACTTTGCCTAGACCTATTTTCTACAATGTCTCCAAGTTGCATCTTATTCTAACCACTTGTTTGCATGTAACTAACATTTTTCTATATCATGTTGGTTTTTTCTCTTTAATGCTCAGGAGCCCAGGTATAGGGGACATTTAGGTTCAGGGCCTCAGGTCTGGTATGGTTAAGAAGTATACCAGTTAAAGCCCATGGCTGAAACCACCACATGATCCTTCTTTATTAAGGTAGAGAACAGTTTACTATAGCCTGATAATAAAGAAAACTCATACTCTTGCCCTATCCTGTTTGGCTCAGTGGATAGAACATCAGCCTGTGGACCAAAAGGTCCAGGTTCGATTCTGGCTAAGGGCACATGCCCAGGTTGCAGGCTCCATTCTCAGTAGGGGTTGTGCAAGAGGCAGCCGATCAATGAGTGATTCTCATCATTGATGTTTCTATCTTCCCCTTTCCCTTCCTCTCTGAAGTCAATATATATATATATGTGTATATATATATATATATAAAAGAAAACTCATACTCTTCAGAAGATCTTTCTCAGAAGGAAAAGCAAAACCTTGTAAGAGCAAAAATCAAAATACTTTATTAGTATATTCTTTTTTAAACAATCTGTCATTACCTAGCAAACAATAAGCATATTTACAATTACCTATTTTTCAGGGATCATTTGGACCTATTAAGGCTAAACACTGTCTTGACATTACATTTCTGCCACAGTAGTACATAATGCCCCCCTTTCACATTGCCATTTTAGGTTGCTAGGCAATAATGAAAATTAAATTAGGAGCATTTTTATAAATCTCTTTTGAAAGCAGATTCTCTGTAACTAGAAATATTAAAGGCACATGAGCTTAAATAACCTACAAATTAACTTGACATTTCATTCCTTTACATTTTACAGATCCCAATTAGGTATTTGTGACCTTTCAGACTTTCAGAGCTTTCTGTCTGCACTATATAAGCTTTTCTTTTTGGGGGGAAGATTTTTAAATTGACTTTTAAAGAGAGAAAAGGAGAAAGAAACAACAATGTGAGAGCGAAACATTGATTAGCTGCTTCCTACACATCCCCCACTGGGGACTGAGCCAAAACCTGGGCATGTGCCCTGACTGGGAATCGAACTGGCAACCTTTTAGTGCATGGAATGATGCCCAACCAACTGAGTCATACTGGCCAGGGCCATAAGCTTTTCTTAATATAAGCATATGGTTAAGTTACGAAGTATTCTTGTGGGCCAATCCAAATATTTTGGATATTAATGCTACCTGAGTCTTTAATGCTTACATAAAGCTTTCATTCTAATTAAGCTATTGATACTTATAACAATATACTGAAGGACTTTAGTAAAGAAAAGGGGGAATATACTAATCAAATCCTGGAATGAGCTAGGTAAAAACTTAACTGTATGCAAGACCTTCCATATAAATGGCTCCAACTGATTAGTAGAAATAACTTAAAAGTAATGATCATGTACACAAATCTTTCATAACTGGACAGAGAACAATTCTTTAAAATGCTTCTCAGGGGAAAAATAAGTTTTGAGAAGTAGTTTTGAATCAGAAGCCTTTCATCTTATGAGTCAGTGTCTAAAAATTTTCACAGGTATCTAAAATTCTACCTTCTTCAAGCCAGGCAGTAGCTTTGTAATAAGCTCATACTTAGGCTTGCCCAAGTACAAGTAAACTTTACAAAGCTAGATGATCTAAGAAAATTCCATCTTCCCAAAGCCAAACATATTTTTGGTGCCTGTTTAGAAAATACGGGAAAATACAGTAGGTGCATACCACCTACTGGGCTCTATCACCCCTTCCATCATCCTATGCAATAAAGGACTATCACTAAGAACCTCCTCTTAATTATTTGCATTCTCAGCATCAAGAAAAAAGATGTGAGCAAAAGCTTTTTTTTATGCTGTTATCTCTATAAGTAGCTAGATGTTTCTAACAGTGGCTATATATGTCCCTCCCATATATTTGCTGCCAAGAAAAAGTATGAGGCTAGCCCTGGTAGGTGTGGCTCACTGGCTGAGCGTCGACCTATGAACCAGGAAGTCACTGTTTGATTCCCACTCAGGGCATATGCCTGGGTTGCAGGCTCGATCCCCAGTGTGGGGCATGCAGGAGGTAAGCAATCAATGATTCTCTCTCATTGATATTTCTAACTCTCTCTCCCTCTCCTTCCCTCTCTGAAATCAATACAAATATATATTTTTTAAAAGTTTGGGGCTAGTGAAACTCCTAGCATCAAGTAAAAGTAGTATGTTGTTTCATTGGCTATTCACTATAAATTAAACTATGGCCAAGAAAAATTGTGCTCTGGCCCTAACCAGTTTGGCTCAGTGGATAGAGCGTCAGCCTGTGGACCAAAGGGTCCCGGGTTCGATTCCGGTCAAGGGCACCTACCTTGGTTGCAAGCTCTTCCCTGGCCTGGGCCCCAGTCGGGGCTCATGCAGGAGACAACTAATTGACGTCCATCACATTGATAGTTCTCTCCATCTTTCCCTCTCTTTTCCACTGTCCCTAAAAATCAATGGAAAAATATCCTTGGGCGAGGATTAACAAAAAAAAAAAAAAAGAAAAAGAAAAATTGTGCTCTGGATTACATTATGAATTTCGACATCTTGAAACTGTTCCACTGATATTTTTATATCACACAAGGTCATGTTACAGCTTGAATTGCACTGGAGAAGCTGCTAAAGGGGCTATTTGCCAAGAAGTTTCTAGTAAATAATTTTTACAAGTAGGACTCTACTCCTAACTGAACAATTCTTGAACATAAATAGCATTTCTATTAGTAAGCGTGGCAAATTTTTGTGAGCTCTTTATTAATTTAGGACATAATCCATATCCTTTTCACTCAAATTCTTAGAAAAATAATCTTTAGTTATTTATCTATCAAATACATGGAAAACTCAACAGAATCAAAGGGTCCTATGACCAAATACATGTGTGATTTGCAAAAAGTCAGAACCTATATTTTCAAAATGTTTCTTGTGCTCTCTTACAGTTTATAGTTCATAGTACAGCAACACCTCCTTCACAACGACTGGTGATCATATTACCTATTTCAGTCCATGTATCTGAATGAGGGTTATAAACTTCAACTGAATCCAAGGTACCTGGTGCCAAGAAATCATGGCTGGAAGATCGACCTCCAGAAACATACAGAAGCCCATTGACTGCCACAACACACATGCCTGCTCTAGGCACTTTCATTGAGGCAACTTCAACCCACTTTTCCTGGTTAAGAGAAAAAAATACGTTAGCAGTGTCACAAAATAATAATAGAGAAAACTGTGAAGAAAGCAGATACTATGGTTCTTTTTATGTTTAAATTTCAAACTTACAATCCAGTCACATCAGTATATAGAACATTTTAAAATAAACTTTCAAGTAGATGTAGACAAAGTAGTAATTTTAGAGGAAAATAATTGAAAAGTCTGTGATTAATTATAAATTATTATCAGAAAATAAATCTAGAGACTCTATATAAGCAGGCATTCTGAAAAACTAGTTGTATGGAATACAAGTAGGTAATGTGCGTACACACACACTAACACACACACACACCACAAACCCACAAAGCTCCTAGAACAGTGGTTCTCAACCTTCCTAATGCCGCGACCCTTTAATATAGTTCCTCATGTTGTGGTGACCCCCAATTTCATTGTTACAAATTGAACATAATTAAAGCATAGTGATTAATCACAAAAACATTATGTAATTATATATGTGTTTTCCGATGGTCTTAGGCGACCCCTGTGAAAGGGTCGTTCAACCCCCAAAGGGGCGACCTACAGGTTGAGAACGGCTGTCCTAGAAGATAAGTGCTTATCTACAGTTTACAGAGGGCTTTAAAAAGTCTTTGAGATGTTAATGAGCCTTATAGATCTCTATGTGAGTGACATAGCAAAAAAACACTTGCCAAATTTATTTAACCATGTAATCCTTTTTGCAAGGATCATCTGGTGGAGTTAGTGACTGCAAAACATATTTCAGAAAAGTAGTATAGATTAGGGGTGGGAAACCTATTTGTATAAGAATACAAACTAAGAATTGTTTCCACATTAAAAAGTTATTAAAAAACAAACAAAAATAAGCCAGGCTGGTATGGCTCAGTGGATTGAGCGTCATCCCATGGACCAAGAGGTCCCAGGTTCAATTCCAGGTCAGGGCTCATGCCCAGGTTGTGTGCTCAATCTCCAACAGGGGGCATGCAGGAGACAGCCAATCGATGTGTCTCTCTCATCAATGTTTCTATCTCTTTCTCCTTCTTCCTTCCTCTCTGTCTACAAATCAATACATTGGGATGGCCCTGGTGAGGTTGAAATGGATAATAAAGGCCAATATAAACTGATGAACAAAAATAGATGCAGAGGCAGAGCAGCATTGAACAGACTGTCAAACTACAGTGGGAAGCCTGGGGAGGGTTTGGGGGTGGGGGGGTTAAGAGAGCAACCGAAGGACTTATATGCATGCATATAAGAATAACCAATGGCCAAAACCGGTTTGGCTCAGTGGATAGAGCGTCGGCCTGCGGACTGAAAGGTCCCGGGTTCGATTCCAGTCAAGGGCATGTACCTTGGTTGCGGGCATATCCCCAGTGGGAGATGTGCAGGAGGCAGCTGATCTATGTTTCTCTCTCATTGATGTTTCTAACTATCTCTCTCCCTTCCTCTCTGTAAAAAATCAATAAAATATATTTAAAAAAAAAGAAAAAAGAATAACCAATGGACACAAGACACTGGGGGGTAGGGGAGGCCGGGGGAATGTCAAGGGTGGGAAAAAGGAGTCATATGTAATACTCTTTGTAATACTTTAAGAAATAAAAATTATTTTTTTAAAAAAAAGAATATTAAATTGCCATCAGGCCCTGCCAGAGACAAATGAAAATGGAAAAATAAAAAAAAAATAAAAATCAATACAAACATATAAGAAACAAACAAAAATACGCCTATCCAGTTTGGCTCAGTGGATACAGTGTCGGCCTGCGGACCAAAGGGTCCCAGGTTTGATTCTGGCCAAGGGCATGTACCTCAGTTACAGGTTCCTCTCCAGCCTGGGCCCTGGTGAGGGCACGTGCAGGACGCAACCAATTAATGTGTTTCTCTCACAATGATATTTCTCTCTGTCTTTCCCTCTCTTCCACTCTCTCTAAAAATCAATGGAAAAATATCCTCCGGTGAGGATTAAAAAAATAAGTAAATAAATAAATATAAAAATGCCAAAAGAAGAGATTGTGGCCCTTAAACAAAAAGTTTGCTAACTCCTGGTATACGTTATTTCCTGAAGAAATTTCAATAAGCTGCTATAGCCAAAATGAGTTATAAATCCCTACTTCAGAGAAAATTCTATACCCAGAAAACAGAAAAGTTAATAAAGGTCCTGGGAAATAATCAAGAGAGAAATGAGCAAGTAGCCAGGTATAAAGGATCCCGGGAATAAAGTAAATGATGAACAAAGTTTATAAAATCATGAAAAGTGAACAATGATTATTCCCCAATGCTAGAAAGTGAAATTAAAAAATTACTGACTGATTTGAGATAGGAAGGGAGAAATAGAGGGAGAGGGAGAGGGGTAAATATCAATTTATTATTCCACTTATTTATGCACTCATTGGTTGATTCTTGTATGTGCCCTGACAGGGGATTGACCCCTCAACCTTGGTGTATCAGGACTACATTCTAACCAACTGAGCTACCAGGCCAAGTTTAGTCCCTAAGGACAGGGACTTAATGAGCGTCACATCCCAGTATCCAGTATAGCTGCAGCACATTATAGAAAGTCAATGTGTGTTTGCTGATTTGAACTTAAATGAACCCAGCAAGTCCTCTGAAACTGAAGAATAAATTTAAAGGTTATTTGATTATCTGAAATTACAGAACATATCACAAAGTTGGCATAGCTAAAAAAAATATTTTAAAAGACAGACATACTCACAAAAATATCTATAGCTGGTTAATATAAACTAGGATGTTGGGGTTATGTTTATCATTAGGGAATATAGTCAATAATATTATAATAACTCTGTATGGTATCAAATGGGTACTAGACTTATTGTGGTAATTACTTCATAAGGTATATAAATGGCTAATCACTATGTTGTACATACCAGAAAGTAATATATTGTGTCAACTATAATTGAAAAATAAAATAAAATTTAAGCCCCAGATATAAATATTTCCAAGGTTCTAAAGGAAAGCATAAACATTGTGATGGGAGAAGTGGAAAACAAAACAAATAAGCAAACAAAAAGACCTTCTAGAGCTAAAAAATACAGTATCTGAAATGAAAAATTCCCTATAGTGGCTTAGGGACACAGCAATAGAAACTATCCAAACTGAAGCACAGAGAACAAAGTTTCAATTATGCAGGGTAAATAAGTTCTAGAGAGATAATGTTCAGCATGGTGACTATAGTTAATAATATTATACTCTATACTTGAAATTTGCTAAGAAAGCAGGTCTTATGTGCTCTCACCACACTCAAAAAAGGAACAGGAAACTATGTGAGGTGATGGATATATTAATTAGCCTGATTGTGATAATCATTTTATAATGTCAACTAAAGGCCTGGTGCATGAATTCATGCACAGATGGGGTCCCTCGGCCTGGCCTGTGATCAGGGATGCAAGCTAACCTACCGGTCGGAGCGTCTGCCCCCTGGTGGTCAGTGCGCATCATATGACTTGTTGAGCGGTCAACGGATCAGTCCAACACTTAGCATATTACACTTTTATTATATAGGATGTATATCAAAATGTCACACTGTACACCTTAATATATGCAACTTTTTTAAAAAAATATATTTTATTAATTTTTTACAGAGAGGAAGGGAGAGAGATAGAGAGCCAGAAACATCGATGAGAGAGAAATATCGATCAGCCGCCTCCTGCACACCCGCTACTGGGTATGTGCCCGCAACCCAGGTACATGCCCTTGACCGGAATCGAACCCGGGACCCTTCAGTTTGCAGGCCGATGCTTTATCCACTGAGCCAAACCGGTTACGACAATATATGCAACTTTTATATGTCAGTTATATCTCAATAAAGCTGGAAAATAAAAACAAACTGAAGAACAAAGAGAAAAGAAGATGGAAAAAAATTTAAGACCCTCAGTGATCTGTGGGACAATATCAAGTGATCTTACATGCCTATTATTGAAGTCCCAGTAAGAGAGCAAGAAAATATTTGAAGAAATATGGCTGACAACATTGATGGAAGCTATAGTCCCAAAGATTCAAGAATTTCAATGAATTCCAAGCATGTTAAACACAAAACTCCAATAAGAAACACATAATCAAGTTACTGGAAACTCATGATAAAGAGAAAATCTTAAAAGCTGCCAAAGAAAAAAAGACACATTACATACAGGGAAAACAGGCTAAGAATGACTACTGACTTCCCGTCAGAAACAAAGCAAGAAGACAAACATCTTAAGGTAAGGAAAAAAACACTCAACAACCTATAATTCTATACTCAGCAAAATTACTTTAGAAGTGAAGGTGGAAAAAAGAAATTTCAGAAAATGGAAGTTAAGCTAAGCTAAGAGAATCATTGCCAGCAGAGCAACACTGAAAGAAATACTTTTAAAAGTTCTTTAGGCTAAGAGAAAATGATATGAGATACAAACTTAGCTCTGCACAAAAGAATAAATAAAACTAGAAATGGTAAATATATCCATAGTTATCAAAGACTTTCTCATTAAAAATGTATTTCAGATATAATTTATTGTTTAAGTAACTGTAACAATAAATACAGAAATAAAATAGCACAAAGGATTAGAGTTGGGCATGAAAGTAAGTTTTTGTAAGTTTTTTACATTGAAAATGAAGTAGTATAATATTATTTGAAGTTAAATTTGATACACTAAATATATATGTATATAATGTAAATTTATATAATAAATAATGTAAGCCCTAAATCTCTTAGAAAAAAGGTGAAGAGATATGGTTAATTGCAAAATAAAAGAAACAATCAACTTAAAGATAGAAAAGGGGGGGAAAGGATAAAGAAATGGATTATACAAATAAAAAACAACAAAATGAAAGTCTAAAAACCATCCATATTTGTAATGATGTTACATATAAATAGTAAAAACTCTAAAGACTCCATTTGAAAGGCAGGCATTGCCAAACTGCATAAAAAACATAGACCACAACTATATGTTATCCTACAAGAGATGCAGTTTGTAAAGACATGGATTTAAAGTAGAAGGGAAAAAAAGATATACCATGCAAATACTAATCAAAACACAACTTGGCTACATTAATGGCTGCATTAATGTCAGACAGAGTAGACTTCAGAACAAAGGTTATTACAGAGGTAAAGAAAAACACTTCATACTATGAAAGGATCAATTAATCAAGAAGACATAATAATCTCAATGTGTGTAGACTTAATAACAAAGATTCAGAAATGTAAAGGAAAAACAGACAAATCCATAATGATAGGTGGAGATTTCGACACGTCTCTCTTAGTAATTTACAAAACAATGAGACAAGTTGGACATACTTGAACAACACTAATCAACTTGATTTAACTGACATTTATACACTCAACAACAGCAGAAAACAAATTATTTTCAGGTGCACATGAAATATTTACCACCACAAAGTATGCTCTTCGATCACAATGAAATTAAATTAGAAATCACTGACACAAAGATATCTGGAAACCCCCCAAATATGTGGAAATTAAATAACAGATTTCTAACAACTCATTGGTCAAAGAAGGAATTATCAGGAAAATTAGAAGATATTTTGAGATAAATGCTAATTAAAACAAAACATATCAAAATGTGCGGGGTGTAGTTAAAGAAGTGCTTGAAAACCATTGATAGCTTTAAAGGTTTACATTATAGGAAAAGAAAGGTCTGAAAGTCAATCAGATAAGCCTCCACTTTAAGATTCTAGAAAAAGAAGAGGAAATTAAACCCAAAACAAAAAGAAGGGAAAAAAAATAGGGACAGAAATAAATGAAATAGAAAGTGGACAATAAGTAGAAAAAAAATCAATGACACCAAAATTTACTTCTTTTGAAAAGAGAAGAAAACCTCAATGATCAACATCATGAATGATAGAATGTACACCACTACAGATCTTTTTTTTTTGTTAATCCATACCCGAGGCTATTTTTCCACTGATTCGGGGGTGGGGGGGGTGGGGGGAGGAGAGAAGACAGAGAGAGAGAGAAACATTGATATGAGAGAGACACATAGATTGGCTGCCTTCCACACTAGCTCCAACCAGGGCCAGGGATTGAGCCTGCAACTGAGGTACGTGCCCTTGACCATAATTGAACCTGGGGTCCTTCAGTCTGCAGGCTCTATCCACTGAGCCAAACTGGCTAGAGTATTACAGATTTTAAAGACATTAAAAGAATAACAGGATACTAAATATTTGAAATCATCCAACCTACCTCTTCAAAGGAATATTTTTCTACAGTATGAAGAGCATCTTGAGTCTCATTCCACCCTCCAATAGAATATATGCAGTCATTGAGTGCAGCCACCCCAAGATATGCTCTCCTGGTTGCCATTGGAGGAAGTGGAGACCAACGCTTGGAAAGTGGATCATAAACTTCAAAAGAACGAAGTTCTATTCCTTCATTGCTGATGCCCCCAATTACATAAATTAAACCTGGAAATGGAATATTTTTGCTCAGATGCTATAGAAAATAGGACACAATAATTAGCAAAAGTTGTGATTTCAGTTTGTTATATTTAATGTAGGGCTATACCAATTTTTTTAACAGAAAATTGACATCTGTCTAGTTTATTACAGCTCACATTTAAGCATGTTACAAAGTTAGGGGTATGAATTTACAGTGTAATTAAATTTTCAACGAGCCTAATGATGCTATAAGAAAATAAATGTCAGACAAAGATTTCCCATCTTATTGTCTGCTTAATGGTCTCAAGTTCCATATGCTACCAAGTAAAGGTAACAAAGGAAAAGGAAAGGGACTTTTTCCCCCCTAAAAAATATTATGCATTTAAACCTGGCAGGCATGGCTCAGTGGTTGAACAATGACTTTAAGAACTAGGAGGTGCCCTAACTGGTTTGGCTCAGTGGATAGAGCGTCCGTCTGCGGACTGAAGGGTTTCAGGTTCAATTCCGGTCAAGGGCGTGTACCTTGGTTTCGGGCACATCCCCAGTAGGGGGTGTGCAAGAGGCAGCTGATTGATGTTTCTCTCTCATCAATGTTTCTAACTCTCTATCCCTCTCCCTTCCTCTCTGTAAAAGATCAATAAAATATATTAAAAAAAAAAAAAAAAAGAACCAGGAGGTCATGATTTGATTCTCAGTCAGGGCACATGCCTGGGTTGCTAGCTCAATCCCCCAGTAGGGGATGTGCAGGAGGCTGATCAATGATTCTCTCTCATCATTGATGTTTCTGTCGCTTTCTCTCTTCATCTCTAAAATCAATAAAAATATATATATATTTTTAAAAATATTATGCACTTAAACTGTGAAAGCCTACCTGTTGTTCAGATGGACATAAAATAGATAATTGAATTTAAATTATAATATTTATATGGCTAGATTAAAATACCAGATTAATCACTAGAGTATAATAGAATATAATTCACAGAGAGTTCATTTTTAAATTTGATCGAAACTAATGGTTCTGTCAATTTATAGTTATTTCTGAGTACCCAGTGTGTTTCCCACATTCTAAAGTGAGGAGCTATAGTTTATAACTCCTCACTTTAATGGTATTTTAAGAAATGTGAGCTAAATGTTAATAAACTTGGGGTTCTAGCTCCAGCTATCTAGTAACCAGCTATGAAAAGAGATAACTCACAGCCTTCCTAATCTTCAGCTTCCTCATTTATAAATAAAGGGGTTGAAATAGATAATCTCCAAGATGCCTGACTCTATGATTTTTAGATGGGAAGGTAAAAATAATAAATATAAAACAACTAGAGAACATTATAATATTAATATAGTTTGCACCATGTAATTTGTACATTTAAATGCTAGTTGAAATCTTCACAAAGCAGGAAGAACTTGAGCTGGGAACAAAGTAGGCTGAGTTGTCATATGACAATGGGCAGACTATTTCCTACTCTGCAGGTACATATAAATTTGCTCTCTAACTCTGGACAGAGAATCAGGTTTTATTTGACAGAACTACCTATCTCTCAGGGTATAATAGACAATTAAAATAATTTCCATACACCATTTTAATATTCAGTGCAACATTTTTCAAATCTATTGTAGCATTATATTCTATGTGGCCTGAATCACAACGTACCCTATTAAAAAACACACTGAAGAAGCCTATAAGAAGAGAATGTGAAGATTGTTATTTATATTCTCTCCTTACTTAGAAATACTTGCTAAGGCCTGAATGGGAGACAAAATAACAATAAAGAATGACATTTAATTTAGTTTATTTTTTAATCCTCATTCGAGGATATTTTTTCCATTGATTTCTAGAGAGTGGAAGGGAAGAGAGAAACTGATGTGAGAGAGACACATCTATTGGTTGCCTCCCGTATACACCCCTATTGGGGCTGGGGAATCTGCAACCAAAGTATGTGCCCTTGGGAGATTTAGTAATGCTAATGGTCTAGAATGGGGTGGGCAAACTTTTTGACTCGAGGGCCACAATGGGTTCTTAAACTGGACCGGAGGGCCAGAACAAAAGCATGGATGGAGTGTTTGTGTGAACTAATATAAATTCAAAGTAAACATCATTACATAAAAGGGTACGGTCTTTTTTTTTTTTAGTTTTATTCATTTCAAACAGGCCGGATCCAGCCCGCGGGCCCGTAGTTTGCCCACGGCTGGTCTAGAACCATAACACAAACAGGAATCGAACCTGAGACCCTTCGGCACATAGGCCAACACTCTAATCACTGAGCCAAACCAGCCAGGACAAGAATGACATTTTATTTTTATTTTTATTTAAAAAAATATATTTTTATTGATTTGAGAGAGGAAGGGAGGAGGAGAGAGAGAGAAATAGAAACAATGATGAGAGAGAATCATTGATTTGATGCCTCCTGCACACTCCCTACCCGGGGACTGAGCCCACAACCTAGGCATGTGCCCTTGACTGGAACTGAACCTGGAACCCGTCAGTCCACAGGCCGATGCTCTATCCACTGAGCCAAATGGGCTAGGGCAAGAATTATATTTTAAATGCTTATTTTGCTAGTCAGGTGTTTTTGCCTATCTGTAATTTTAAATTCTAGCTGTTTATTTTGGAGAAAAATATATTATTTGACAATACAGAAATAAAGAAATAAGAAGTTAAAAAGATATGAGGTTAAAAGCAGAACTTCCATATTGTTAATGTTAAATACTTAATAAACATCAATAGACATAAATATACTTTTGTGTAAATAAAAGCCTCAGGCTCAGTTTTTATAAATATACTAGAGGCCCGCCGAAACCGGTTTGGCTCAGTGGATAGAGCGTCGGCCTGCGGGCTGAAGGGTCCCGGGTTCGATTCCGGTCAAGGGCATGTACCTGGGTTGTGGGCACATCCCCAGTAGTAGATGTGCAGGAGGCAGCTGATCGATGTTTCTCTCTCATTGATGTTTCTGGCTCTCTATCTCTCTCCCTTCCTCTCTGTAATAAATCAATAAAATATATTTAAAAATATATATATATACTAGAGGCCCAATGCATGAAATTCGTGCACTCAGCAAGGGGGTCCCTCAGCCCAGCCTGTGCCCTCTCAGTCTGGGAGCCCCACAATCAATCGCTCCAAAGAAGTAGGCCCTGCCCACCCACCGCAACCTGCCGGTTGTTGACCTGGGCCTCCCTCTTTGGGGCGATCGTGGAGCCCCCAGATTGATTGATCGCCCCACCAGCCGGTGGCCTGGGCCTCCCTCTGCAGGGCAATCATGGGGCCATGACCAGGCCCCCAACCAATTGTATTGCACCCGCCTTAGCTGGCCTGGCGCCAGTGGGTGTCATAGCGTGGTTGTCCAGAAGGTCATCCGGATGGTTGTTCTGCTCTTCAGTCGTTCGGTCGATTTGCATATTACACTTTTATTATTATAGATATTTTCAAGAAAAACATTTTATAAAGCAATCAATCACCTTGCATTTCACAACAGCCAAAGTAGTAGCGTGACATAGCCATGTTGCCAACTACTTCCCATTTATTTTCATCAGGATCAAATCGTTCAATGGTGTTCCCTATCTCAGCTCCAACCCATCCACCTATAACCAAACAGAAAAATGTTATGTCTGGGATAAAGGAATCTTATTTATCAAAAACACCTTAGAAAACATCTAACCTGACAACTTCATATTATGGATGATTATCACATGGAATAGAGGGGTTATTTGTCCAAGATCACATGAAAAGTTAGAATTTGACTGTGAGTAGAACTCAGATCTTTTAACTCTCTGCCTATTTTCAACTAGGAATTTAAAATAAAACAAAACAGTCCGCCCAGTGTGGTTCAGCGATTGAGCGTAGGCCTCCTGGTTCACGGTTCAATTCCAGGTCAGGACACATGTGCAGATTGTAGGCTCAATTCCCAGTAGGGGGCATGCAGCAGGCAGCAGATTGATGATGCTTCTCTCTCATCGATGTTTCTATCTCTCTATCTCGCTCTCTTCCTCTCTCTAAAATCAATAAATATAGCTTAGCTGCCATGGCTCAGGGGTTGAGCGCCAACCTATGAACCAGGTCATGGTTCAATTCTAGCCAGGGCATATGCCTGGGTTGCAAGCTTGATCCCGTGTGGGGTGTGCAGGAAGCAGCAGCCAATCAATGATTCTCATTATTGCTGTTTCTATCTCTCTCCCTCTTCCTTCCTCTCTGAAATCAATAAAAATATATTTTAAAAATAAATAAAATAAAAATGTACTTAAAAATAAATAAAATAAACCTAAAACTTCAACATATTGCATAGGAAATTTGGTATTTTGCAAAACTATCTTTTGAAACAACTTCTGCATATTTAGCCTGCTTATACTAGTCATGCAGTTTAACTATCAGCTAAAGAGTTTCATTGGATATCTCATCTATATTTTATCTCCATCCCTTTCTAAGAACTCCACTTTTTACAATATCCCCCAAGTAATAGTATTTTGAGAAGAATAATTTATAAAGCTGAAAGGAAAATGTTTCTTATGGGAGAGAAGGAAAATTTCTAAGTAATCAGAATCTAAGAATTTAAGTAACATTAGATATCCTTAAATTGAACAGCATAATTACCCAAAGCATAGATAGCCCCATAACACACACACACTCCCAAGCCACAGCGGGGGTGATTCATTGAAGCTACAGTTGTCCACTGTTTAGTAACTGGATCATAGCATTCAGTACAATCAAAAATCATTGAATCTTTTTCACCTATGTTAAATAAAAGAGACACATATCAGGAGACTTAGTAATGCTAATAATCTAGAACCATAACACAATATTCAGTAGCATTTCATGTTGTCAGAAATTCAACTATTATGCCTGATTTTATACTATTTATTAAAATTCATTTGCCCAGCAAGTGTTATTTTGAAATCATAGCACTATCATTTAGTAAAGTCCATTTAATGTAGTAATGGCACAATTTTCCTATTATCTATTTCTAATTCTATTACCCAAACCAGTGGTCGGCAAACTCATTAGTCAACAGAGCCAAATATCAACAGTACAACGATTGAAATTTCTTTTGAGAGCCAAATTTTTTAAACTTAAACTATATAGGTAGGTACATTGTTATTAACTTAATTGGGGTACTCCTAAGCTGGCCTTTGCTAAAAACGTCCTCAATCTGAGGGGTCGACCTCAGCGAACGTACCCCCACTTCTTTCTAACGCCACTTCTTCAAAATAGACTCACCCAGGCCGAAAACCGACTTCTGCGCATGGGCCACAAAGTTTCAATCACACTGTACGTGCGCGCCCGCACGTGGTATTTTGTGGAAGAGCCACACTCAAGGGGCAAAAGAGCCGCATGTGGCTTGCGAGCCGTGGTTTGCCGACCACTGACCCAAACAATCCACACAATTTGCATTTTGACAATTGTAAAATTGAGTTTTACTAGTAATGTAATTCTTATCTAGCAACAAACAGAAAATAGTGTGGTGAAGGCCTGGGGGGAGGTGGGGACAGGTGTGGGGTCAATGGGGAAAAAGGGGGCCATCTATAATACTTTCAACAATAAAGATAAATTAAAAAGAAACAACACAAAACGCTGAGTTGTATATGTGAGTTTGATACCTGTAGTCACTTTGTCTAAAAATATGAAAACATTTAAGTGGAAATTAATGGAATTTATTGGAAAATGGGTAAAACTACAGTTTAACTATGATTTAAGCTGTGGAGAGAAGTCCCATATCACACATACAATTAAATAACAACATAAAAGAAGATACCAATCACATATATATACACACACACACATAAGTGTAATACATATGTAATGTAAGTATATAATGTGTCTACAGGTCCATATCTTTATCTTTGTATCTGTGTGTGTGTGTGTGTGTGTATATATATATATATATATATATATATGTGTGTGTGTGTGTGTGTGTGTGTGTGTGTGTGTGTGTATATATATAATACATCTTAGGAGCATAAGAAAAGATATTACTTAAAATAGAATTTAAAAATATTGCCGAAACCGGTTTGGCTCAGTGGATAGAGTGTCGGCCTGCGGACTGAAGGGTCCCAGGTTCGATTCCGGTAAAGGGCATGTGCCTGGGTTGCGGGCACATCCCCAGTGGGGGGTGTGCAGGAGGCGGCTGATCAATGTTTCTCTCTCATCGATGTTTCTGACTCTCTGTCTCTCTCCCTTCCTCTCTGTGGAAGATCAATAAAATATATTTAAAAAAATAAATAAATAAAAATAAAAATATACTATACCTAGGAGTAAATCTAATCAAAGCTTGTATAAGACCTCGATGGTTAAAATTTATAAACTTTAGATAAAATTTTTAATTAAGGAATATCTAAATCAGGGGTCCTCAAACTATGGCCCGCGGGCCACATGCAAATACAAATATTGTATTTGTTCCCGTTTTGTTTTTTTACTTCAAAATAAGATATGTGCAGTGTGCATAGGAATTTGTTCATAGTTTTTTTTTAAACTATAGTCTGGCCCTCCAACGGTCTGAGGGACAGTGAACTGGGCCCCTGTTTAAAAAGTTTGAGGACCCCTGATCTAAATAAATGAGATGTATCATCTTCATGACATAGAAGAGTCAATGTAAAGATGATTATTGCCCTAGCAAGTTTGGCTCAGTGCACAGAATGTCAGCCCATGGACTGAAGGGTCATGGGTTTGATTCTGGTCAAGGGCATCTACCTTGGTTGCAGGCTTGATCCCCGGCCCTAGACAGGGCTCATGTGGGAGGCAACCATTGATGTGTCTCTCTCACATTGATATTTCTCTCTGTCTCTCCCTCTCCTTTCCACTCTCCCTAAAAATGAATGAAAAAATATCCTCAGGTGAGGATTAACAACAAAAAATTACATATATATATACCATTATCCCCAAACTGGTTTATAGATATAATATAATCCCAATTTTTAAAAAAATCTTTTTTTGTTACATTTAACACAACATAAAATTTACTATCTTAACCATTTTTAAGTTTACAGTTCAGTGATGTTAAACACATTCACATGTTGTGTAGCCATGACAACCATAACCATTTTCATCTTATCAAACTGAAACACTATACGTATTATACAAAAACTCCTCATTTTTATCTCTCCCAGCCTCTGGCAATCACCATTATACTTTGATTTAAGATTCTGACTATTCTAAGTACCTCACATAAGTGGAATCATACAGTATTATTAAAAAAAATGATTCTAAAATTTATATGGGAAGTACAAAAGATCTAGAATAGGCAAGCACTCCCAGAAATTAAGGAGACACTATCCTATCAGATAAGCTCATTAGATTTAAATAGAGCTATAGTAATTAAGATAGAGATAGACAAATAGACCAATGGAACAGAAAAGAAATCTAGAAAACAGATCTATGCATATATGATTACTAGGCATAAGACAGTTTGTACTGCAGAGCAGTGAAGAAAGAAAAGTTTTATTATGCTAGGATAATTGGTTATATCTATATAGGGGGGATAAAGGAAACTGGTTCCCTACTCACACTATCCTTAAAAACTCAATTCCAGGTAGATTATAGACATAAATGTAAATGGAAAAACTATAAAATTTTAGAAAGCAGTAAAGATATGTATCCTCATGACTTTGGAGTAGGGAAGGATTTCTTTAAAAAGGTAAAAGAAACACTAACCATAAAGGGGAAAAATAATAGAGTTGGCTACATTAAAATTAAAAACATTTGTTTATCAAAAGACACTATAAAAAGTCCTGGCTAGTGTGGCTCAGGTTGGTTGGAGCCTCAACCCAGGTACTGAAAGGTTGGTGGTTTGATTTCCGGTCAGAGCACATACGTAGGTTGTGGGTTTGATTGTTGGCAGGGGCAAGAAACGGAGGCAGTCAATTGATGTTTCTCTCATACATAGATGTTTCTCTCCCTTCCCCTCTAAAGTCAGTGAAAACATACCTTCGGGAGAAGAGTAAAAAATAAAAAAAGATACCATATAAGTGAAAGGTGAAGCAGCAGAGTAGGAAAGATATTTGCAGCACATTTAACTGTATGAGGGCCTAGAATCCTGAATGTTTACAAAACTCCTACTGTGCAGAAGTTAACATAGCAGGTCTGAGACTGCCTATCTTTAGAAAGGCTTGCTTTGCAAGGTAGACCCTTGGTTGGAGTCTGGGAATATGGCTAGTAAACAGTTCCCTACACTGATATAAAAATTTCCCTAAATGCCCTACCCAGTTTGGCTAAGTGGATAGAGCGTCGGCCTGTGGATTAGAGTCCTGGGTTCGATTCCAGTTAAGGGCACATGCCCAGGTTGCGGGCTCAATCCCCAGTAGTGGGTGTGCAGGAGGCATCAGATCAATGATTCTCTCTCATCATTGATGTTTCTATCTCTCTCTCTCCTTCCTCTCTAAAATAAATAAAATTAAAAAAATAAATTTCCCTAAATGATAAGAGAAGCTTTTTGCAGAGATGAAAATGTTTTGGAATGAGTAGTGATGGTAGCACTACTTTGTGAATATACTAAAAACCACTGAACTATATACTCTAAATGGTGAATTTGATGGTATGTGAATTATATCTTAATTTTTTAAAACAGTATTTAGAACCTTGTTGAGTGTGGTTCAGTTGCTGGAGCATATATTTCACAATAACAGTTTCAGAAAACACAATGATTTCAATCAAGAAATATATCCAAATATCTAGTTGACTTGGTTTTTGTATGTCCCACTATCTGGATAACTTGATTAATTAAAAATGATTCGTAATGCAGCTTTCAGAATTTAAAAATTTTTTAATGATAAATATCAACCTAAGTTTTGGTGCCACATTGTATGAACAACTTTTCTTTAAAAAAAATTTTTTTAATTGATTTCAGAGAAGGAAGAAAGAGAGATAGAAACATCAATGATGAGAGAAAAATCATTGATCAGCTGCCTCCTCTATGCCCCACACTGGGGATTCAGCCCACAACCTGGGCACTTGCCCTTGACCAGAATCGAACCCAGGACCCTTTAGTCCACAGGCCAACACTCTATCCACTGAGCCAAACCGGCTAGGGCAGTGATGGCGAACCTTCTGAGCTCGGCGTGTCAGCATTTTGAAAAACCCTAACTTCACTCTGATGCTGTGTCACATATAGAATTTTTTTTATATTTGCAACCATAGTAAAACAAAGATTTATACTTTTGATACTTATTTTTATATATTTAAATGCCATTTAACAAAGAAAAATCAACCAAAAAAATGAGTTCGCGTGTCACCTCCGACACGGGTGTCATAGGTTCGCCATCACTGGGCTAGGGCTCATCATTGATGTTTTTATTTCTCTCTCTCTCTGAAATCAATAAGTATTTTAAAAAGCAATTAAAAAACAGTGCTCAGCCAGTGTGGCTCAGTGGTTGAGTGTTGAACTATGAACCAGGAGGTTATGGTTCGATTCCTGGTCAAGGCACATGTCCGGGTTGTGGGCTTGATCCCCAGTGTGGGTTGTGCAGGAGGCAGCCAATCAATGATTCTCTCTCCTTAGTGATGTTTCTATCTCTCTTTCTTCCTCTCTGAAATCAATACAAATAATTTAAAACAACAACAACAACAACAAAAAACCAGACAACATCAAACTTAAGTATTCTGCCTTATGATAAATTATAGTATCCCTCTGGTCTGAAATATTCAATAGCTTGTGTTTTCTTTTAATTTCTTTCACTCATTTATTCAATAAATATTTAGTAAGCACAATGTAGCTATGTATACCCCATAGCCTCACAATATATGTAAAGCATATAAAAATTTAGCCAACTTATAGCTAAAGATTAATGAGGGAAATAAGACATTCTCATCATTACCTCCAATAGCATAGACCATCCCTCCCAGAACTGCTACTCCCAGCCCACATCGAGCTTGATGAAGTGAAGATACAGTGGTCCAATACTGGCTAAAGGTGTCAAAACGTTCTACACAGCTGAGGGCTCTGCTATCACTCCAACGACCACCCTGCAACCGAGTATATCCACCTGAACAAAGGAAGGAAAGAAGGACCATAGCAAATTCCTTACCGCTAAATACGGAAATGGTAATAAAGAGAAAAATCTAACCATCTACATCTAGACATTCAGTGTAACTATTTCATAGCAAAGAATAAATGCTTTAGAGCTTGCCATATATACATATATTATTCTTAAATGTGCCAAGTCCTGAAAGATTATGGCTTAAATAAAGTGAATTAACCACAATGTTGTACTACCTGATCTTAGTTATATAGAACATTAGGTAAAACATAAATCTAGCCCTTGCTGGTGCTGCTCAGTGGTTAGAGTGTTGGCCCACAGACCAAAGACTCTCGGGTTCCATTCCTGGTCAAGGGCATGCACCCAGGTTGCAGGTTTGATCTCCAGCCCTGGTTGGGGGGTGTGTGGGAGGCAATGAATCCATGTGTCTCTCTCACATTGATGCTCTCTCTCTCTCTCTCTCCCCGACTCCCTTCCACTGTCTCTAAAAAAATCAACAGGGAAAAAATATCCTCGGGTGACGATTAACAACAACAAAAAAACCAAAACCCAAAAAAACAAAAAACATAATCTAGGAGCTGGTTATTTGTCTAGTTAAAAAGTTTCTGCCCTGGGCAGTGGGGCTCAGTTGGTTGAGCTTCATTCTGTGTACCAAAAGGTCATGGTCTGATTCTCAGACAAGGCACATGCCCACGTTTTGCTCCATCCCTGGTCAGGATGCATGCAGGAAGCAGGGGATCAATGTTTCTCTCCCCCGCCCCCCCTTACCCTTCCTCTCCCTTCTCCCTCTCATCTCTCTCTCTCTCTCTTGCTTTGGAAAAAAAAAAAGGAAAAGAAATCAATAAAAACATATTTTTTAAAAAGTTCCATTATGATCTCTATTAGTGTCTCTTTCAAATAAAAATTGTGAATTGAGCCCTGCTGGTGTGGCTCAGTTGATTGAGTGTCATCCCATGCAGCAAGAGGTTGCTGGTTCGATTCCTGATCAAGGCATACACTGTAGTTGTGGGCTCAAACCTCATTAGGGGGTGTACAGGAGGCAGCAGATCACTTTCTCTCTCTCCCTCTCCCTTCCTCTCTGTCTAAAAAAATTAATAGAAACATATTTAAAAAAAATAGCAAGTTGAAATTCACGTTTGACTGCACATCTCATTAAAAAAGTTTAGCATGCACTAAAAAATTACATACTTATACATTATAGCATATATAAAATCTATATATATAAAAGCCTAGCGACAGTTACGACCAAACAACCAAACGACCAGTCACTATGATGTGCACTATGATGTGACCACTAGGGGGCAGATGCCCAAAGCAGGAGCTGCCCCCTGGTGGTCAATGCGCTCCCACAGCCAACCTCCCACAGTCCCTCCACTCGCTCCCCCTGACCGGCCAACTTCCCGAGGTTCCTTCCCCCAAGCCCCCATGCACAAATTCGTGCACTGGGCCTCTAGTTATAATTACATACATATAAATTATACAGAAAATATTTATATATAAATTATATTATCTATATAAATCTAGGCGATCTGTCAATATGTATATATATATATATATATATATATATATATATATATATATCAAATACTGATATGGTTTAATGTTTTTTAAAATAAAAAGAAAGAGAGGCTTTAATATGTTCATCTCATATGCCTATGGATTATCCTGCACACCCTGCACACCCACACTTTGGAGACCATTGGTTCTTATCATCCCTAATGACCATCTATGACACTGTGAATAGTTAATATTTTTGAGGTTCATTTTTCTTCCTGCAATGCAACACAAAGATTAAAATCAGATACTTTTAAAGCAAATTTTCAACTTTTAAAGTAGTATTTCTGTAGTCAGTTATTGACAATAATTGAGTAATCTAAGAACCAAATATTCAGATCACAGAATAATGTCAAATGAGTAGCTATTTAATTTTTAGATGTGTTCACTGTATTCTATAACTACAATTTATAAATCTGTAGTCTGCATGTAAAATTAAATATGTCTATTTAACACACCTGAATATTCTGACATGTATAATAACAATAAAACATTAAAAGATTTTGATCCTGAAAATAAAGATAACCTCTATCAACTATAGTATATTATAAAATTATACATCTAAAACCTATATAATTTTATTAACCAATGTCACTCCAATAAATACAATGTAAAAAGAGAAAGAAAAATACATAAATAAGTAAATAAATAAATGTTCTCACCTACTGCATACAGATACTTTCTTGCTTTCTTCCGAGGTCGAACCTTAGATGTCTGCAGAAAACTACAAAACTTGTTCTCTTTGGGAGATTTGCACACCTCACAGTACTCTTTCAAAAGTGTTTGCAATGCAACACGAAGATTAAAATCAGATACTCCTAAAGTAATGTTTAAAAAGATAATGTTTAATCAACTTTTAAATACTGAAAAGATATGCTTACATAAAAAGAATTGACAATCAAAAAATAAAAAACTCATCATCAAACAATGGTGATTTAACCACACCATTTCCTATAATACCAAATATTATTTTTCTCATTGCTACTGAAAAATATACTTTTCTTAAATCAAAGATTATTTTTTAAAATATATTTTTATTGATTTTAAAGAGGAAGTTTGAGGGACAGAGAGAGAGAAACATCAATGATGACAGAGAAACACTGATCAGCTGCCTCCTGCATGCCCCCCACTGGGGATCAAGCCTGTAATTGAGAATCAAACCATGACCTCATAGGTTGACACTCAACCAGAGTCACGCTGGTTGGACCAAAGATTGTTTTTAAAAATATGCTTCATGGCCCTGACTGGGTAGCTCAGTTGGTTAGAGTGTTGCCTGATATGCCAAGGTTGCAGGTTCTACCCCAGGTCAGGGCACATGTAAGAATCAACCAATGAATGCATAAATAAGTAGAACAACAAATCAATGTTTCTTTTTCTTTTTAATATGTTTTTTATTGATTGTTAGAGAGAGAGAGAGGAAGGGAAAGGGAGAGAAACATCAACGTGAGAGAGAAACATTCGTTGGTTGCCTCTCGAAAACATCCTTACTGGGTATCGAACCTGCAACCTGGACATGTGCCCTGAACAGAACTTGAACCGGCTACCTTTTAAACAAAACCCTGTAAGGATGATGTTCAACCAACTGAGCCACAATGGCTAGGGCACAAATTGATGTTTCTCTCTTTTTCTAAAATCAGTAAGTACATATTTTTTAAAAAAATGCTTCAGCCCAACTCGTGTTGCTCAATGGCTATGCGTCGACTTATAAACCGGGAGGTCACAGTTGGATTCCTGGTCAGGGCACATGTTGTGGGCTCAACCCCCAGTAGGGGGTGTGCAGGAGGCAGCCAATCATTGATTCTCTCTCATCACTGATGTTTCTATCTTTCTCTCCTTCACCCTTCCTCTCTGAAATCAATAAAAAAAATTTTTAATAAATGCTTCATACTAGACAATTTTAAAATACATGTATGAGGATTTCTAAATAAAGATGGCAAGGTGAAATAGAATCACAATTATTTAACAAAATGAAAAAAAAGTAGCCCAAAATTCAATACATATAACCTAATAACAAAAGGGTATAAAATATGTCATAAACTTTAAAAAATTATAGTCAGCCCTGATAGGTTTGGCTCAGTGGCTAGAGCGTTAGCCTGCGGACTGAGGGGTCCCGGGTTCGGTTCCAGTCAAGGGCATGTACCTTGGTTGCGGGCACGTCCCCAGTGGGAGGTGTGCAGGAGACAGCTGATCGATGTTTCTCTCTCATCGATGTTTCGAACTCTCTATCCCTCTCCCTTCCTCTCTGTAAAAAATCAATAAAAAATATATTTTAAAAAAATTATACTCAAAGCAAGAAACAAAAGAGCTGTTCAGATGAGCTGCTGGGATGAGATCCATTTCCTAGAGACTTTGAGCATGATTGGGTAGTTTTTTCCTGCTCAACGGTACTAGATGAATTGGGGATGAAAGTCAACCTGTATCCCATCTGGCAAGCTCTAAGACCCCCTAAAAGGGCACTATTTTCAAATTTGCACAAAGGCCCATTTATGCTAGCAAGGGACTATCTCCTAGGCTTGTCCCTACATCTCAGATGCAATATTGAGGAAAGAAGGTCAATTTAGAAAATCTTGAGAATTCTTACTAATAACTAATAATTTGGAGAGAGGTAGAATGAGCAGTGAAGAAGCCAAGTTGAGAAGTCAAAGAACAAAACCAATAAAAGGAAAATCCCTTATAGGACCAGCAGTAAAGGTAGAGAGGATCGCCAGTTTGCCATCTAACAGAGCGCCTTGCTAGCCAAAGTCTATATGAGATATATCCTTGGCTGGGTTAAGTAGGTAGGTTCTGACACAAGATCAATATTAGGATCTCATAAGAAAGCTCAGAACCAAGTCCCTAAGGAAGGACCTCAGCCTTAGCAAATCTCCATTCTTCCACTTCTTTCATGTCTCAAGCTAGAAAGAAGCGGTGAGAACATAACACCTAGATCTCAAATTTTAGATGGGAGAAACAAAGTAAACTAAAGTAGAAAAGATGTCCAGAGAATTAGCTCTTACATTATTTATAATCCAGTCACATCCTCAAGTTTCATTCAGTGTAGGACAAATCTTGCCGGTTTGTCTCAGTGGATAGAGTGTCAGTCTGTGGACCAAAGGGTCCTGGTTTCGATTCTGGCCAAGGGCACATAGCTTGGTTGCCGGTTCCTCTCTGGCCCTGGTCTCGGCACGTGCAGGAGGAGGCAACCAATCGATGTGTTTCTCTCACATCGATATTTCTGTCTGTCTTTCCCTCTCTATTCTACTCTCCCGAAAAATCAATGGAAAAATATTCTCAGGTGAGGATTAACAAAAAAACCTTCAAATCTTGAAATCAAGTCTAAAGTAGTTTAAAAAAATAAATTTAAATATTATCATTTTTCTAATATAAAGATAAAAACTATTTTATACTATGGTGAAAAGTATTTTCAAAGTTTAGAACCTAAAGATGATTCAAAGGCACTTAGGAGCTATGATATATCAATATAAAATTTATTTTATAATGAGAGGACTTACAGGATTTATTAAGTTTTGTTTTTGTTTTTAGCATATGCATTTTCCTCAACTGTTAGGTTTTGCTGACTTTTTAAAAGCGACAAGAGGAAATCTTATCTTGAAATACTTAGTACTGCCAAAAACAACAGTATTTTAGTTCAGTCAGTAATTTTATCTATAGCTCTAACCTCTATTAGTATTTAATTTCAAGAAAGGTACATAAGGATTTTATTAAAATAAAGGTAGAAATATGAAGCCCTAACCAGTGTGGCTCAGTGGATAGAGTGTCAATCTGTGGATTGAAGGGTTCCAGGTTCGATTCTAGTCAAGGGCATGTACCTTGGTTGTGGGCACATCCCCAGTAGGGGGTGTGCAGGAGACAGCTGATCGATGTTTCTCTCTCATTGATGTTTCTAACACTCTATCCCTCTCCCTTCCTCTCTGTAAAATATAAAATATATTTAAAAAGAAAAAAAGGGCAGAAATATGGAACTACAACTATCTACCCATAAAAACACAAATCTGTAACTTGCATATAGTAATCATTCAATAAATGTCTGCTATTGAACTGAAAGTAAAAACACTATCACATTTCAGAAAGCAAAAAGCCATTGGGTAAGTAGTTGACTGATATACAACAAAAGTTACCTTCTATATACTTTAAAAGCCTCTGAGGAGGTAGTAAAGGAAATCGAATTGGGTCTAGCACTTCCACCACATATTTTTTTCTTTTTCCCAGATCTTTGAGAAGCCACTGCATTGCAGCTAAGAAGACCTGGTATTCATCCTCAATGCTAAGCTCTTCACTTCGCAAAATTTTGATCAACTGATCTTTTGTAAGTGCCAGGAACTCTTCCCCACTCTGAACCTCCAAGAAATGGACATGAATATAGTTTTCTGTGAATTCCAAAAGATCATGGCAGGCAATCTGCTCAGAGAACTGAAAGATCCCAATGCAGTTCAGTGGATCAATTTGTCCTTTCAGAAATGCACAGCAAAGATTAACAACTTCAGTCAATTGTAGCATGTCCGCTGCAACAAGCAACTCCTGGACATTATTCACACCTATGTCCACTATGCCTAGGGAAACAGGGAGACAAATAACCAGTACAGTAAAATAAAAACAAACATTTGACTTATATTAAAGAGGCATTATATTTGATTCCACCAATAGCTAAGTGAAAAGGCAACAAAGGATTGATAGAGCACAAAACTTAAATGATAAAGGTACAGAACATTTATGGAACACTTACAATGAAGTAGACATAGCATTAATTGCTTTATACATTCATTTAACCCTGACTGCTGTCCCCACATTCCCCGAAAAGGAAATGCCACTGTAATGAAAATCAAAGAACATGTTCTTTTTTAAAAAACAAAAACAAAACTACTTGTATGCATGCATATAAGCATAACCAATGGACATAAGACACTGGGGGTAGGGGAGGCCGAGGGATTGTTAAGGGCGGGAAAAAAAGGAGACATATGTAAAATCCTATATAATAAAAGCCTAATATGCTAAAAAAAGAAAATAAAAAAGAAAATAAAATGGTATGTTCTAACCACACAAAAAAATTTAAAAAAAAATTGTATCAAATTACAAAGTTCCCTGACCAATATATATGCCCAAAATTTATTTTCATCTTTATTAATAGAACCTTGGTTTTGCTATGAGTGGCAATTGTGCCCAGCTAAAAATTATATTTCTTAGCTTCCCTTGGCAGATAGAAATGAATTTTTGACTGAGGTTAGCCAAAAGGATATAGGTAGTGGTTATTGGTTAGGGTTACTAGAAAAGCTTAAAAAGAGGATAGTCTGAGGGGGCAGGCTCTTTTGCCTTTTCCTCTTTCTCCTTCCACTGGCTGGAGTTCAGTGATAATGTTAGAGGCTACATACTACAGATGGTGGAGCAAAATGATGGATGAATAATGGGACACTAATGACATCATGAAGCCACTATACCAGCCTTTGAATTACTATGGATTCATTTTTGTGGAAAAATAAATTCCTATCTGGTTAAGCCACTTTGTATCTTTTACTAGCAGACAAACATTGTTCTTAACTGTTACATCAGTTTTAGCCTTAAATGTTAACGTTGTACAGTTATTTTTCCCTATATATGCTCAGTAACTTTTATTTCTCTGGGTTTTACCACTTCTTATTCTTTGATGGAAGTGCTAATCACCAGCAATATAGTAATGATGCCATGAACATTCTCTTTCACTAAATATCTCTTCTTGCTACTATCAGACAATAGAGGCGGAGTAGACAGTTTGTGGCATTTCTTCTGTTTTTATGTAGTTCAACTAATTCCATTGGATTAATCTGTTCATTTCTATTTTTCAAGTATGAGAAGCAGGGGTATTTATAAAGCAGTTTCCAACTCACACAAGGCATTTACAAAAGACAGATCAAGAACCTCTCAATGTTAATTTGTACATTAGCTAATAGGCAGAGCTGCATTACTTTCAGTAGATAAAAAAGTCATTTTTACAATCCTCACAATTAACTTATTTTCTGAAATTTTCCAAAAAGGAATATGAAACTACACAAAGAAAAATTACCTTTTGTTATTTTCCAGTTGTAAATATTATGCATTAAATAAGCAACACTTTATCAGGCCACATAATTATCTCCTTTACGGAGAGTATGGTGTATTCTCAAAACTAGACCAAACAACAGTCATTGTTTTAAACTTTTTTTCCTGATTATAAGAGTACTATGTATTCACTACAGAAAAAACTTTAGGTAGAAAAGTATAAAAATGAATATGAAAATCACACATTTTCCATATCCATACACTATTACCATTTTATATTTCTTGAAAAATTTTCCCATGTATATTTGTTATATAAGATTAAAACTTTATATATAGTTTTTATATGGATTTTCTAATATCATTAAAATTCTTCACAAAAATTTTAGAAGTAAAAGATTTGATTAAAATAATACATGGTGCCTGGCTGGTTTGGCTCACTGGATAGAACATCGGCCTGGGGACTGCAGGGTCCCAAGTTCGATTCCAGTCAAGGGCATGTACCTTGGTTGCAGGCACATCCATCCCCAGTAGGGGGTGTGCAGGAGGCAGCTGATCGATGTTTCTCTCTCATTGATGTTTCTAACTCTCTATCCCTCTCCCTTCCTCTCTGTAAAAAATCAATAAATATATAGAAAAAAAATAAATAAAATAATACATGCTGATTATGACATTATGAAGGAAAAACAGAAAAAAATGGAAAAATAAGAATCTTCCATATTTCATCATCTAGAGGTAAACATCAACATTGTGGTCTTTTTCCTGTGCACAAATACAAACAAATGATTTTTAAAAAACAAAATTGAAGTGGTATTTACATACAGATTATCTTCATTTAATATACTGCAAACATCCTTCCATGATAGTACATATTTAAATCATTTGCAAGATCTAAAAAATATTCTATTACCTATATGTACCATAATTTATTTAACCATATAACCTACTGAGGGAGAATTAGATTGCATTCAATTAAACTATTATAAATAATGTTATAAATATCCTGGTACATAAATGTTAGCCTGAATCCCTAATTAGTTCCTTAGTATTCCTAGAAAAAGACTACAAGGTCAAAAGATAGGAATTTTTCAAAGACTCATAATAATAAATTGTGAAATTACTTTCCATATAAGTAATATCAATTTATATTTCCATAGCAGTACATGAGTGACTGCATCATTCTTCACTTAAAACTACAGGCTTACTTAACATACCTGTATAAATAAAATCTAGAAGTATTCGAAATATTGCAGCTTCAATTCCTAGAATCTGTACAACATCTTTTGAGGACTCTTTCATTCCTCCAGTGAACAAAGCTGCAAAGTAAGGACTACTGGCAGCCAGAACCAGCCGATGAACTTTAAAAGTTTCCTTCCCCACTTGTAGCTGCACATCACAGAAATGCTGTCCATTCCTCATTTTATTGATCTGGGCCAAGATGAGTTGGGCATGTTTATCTGATGAAAAAAGACTATCACCAGCCTTGGGACAGCCCTCATTAGCCATGATGATGATAAATTAATTTAAAGGACTTCTGCCCATAATCTGGTCCTACCCTGAAAACCAAAACAGAAAGAGACCAAACATCATATTTTTGTGTTTAACATGTCTTTTATTCATATACTTATGGAACATTCCCTATCCTCAAGGAACCTACAGTATACTTAGGGAATAAAACACACACGAAACAAATAAGGACTAAACTGTGTGGTGCCATTCCTAGGGTTTCAGAGAAAGGAATAAGTAATAGGACCTAAAATAATTGGAGGACATGGAAAACTGGAACCTGAACTGGATACTGAAAGATAGTTAAGTATGAGGAGAGGGCATGAGCCTTTCTGGGTGGAGTAAAGAAAATAAGGAAAGGCACAAAGGCAGAAAGAAGCTTTTGTACACTGCAGTAAGGAAGCACACATTGTAGCCAGAATGAACTTTCAAAAAACAATTGTGATCAGGGTAACTGTTTGCTTATTTGTACACATCCCTTAGCGCACAAAAGTCCTTCAAATCTTACCTCTGTTTACCTATCCAGTCCTATCTCCCATACTCCTCTTTGAACTTAATACTCCAACAAAACCTAACAATTTGCAGTTCTTTAAAAGTGACTCGCATGGTGTCCTGCCACACCTCTTCCCTCTGGATCTTTGTTATAATTCAAGACTGCTTAAATATAATTTCCTTTAGGAACTCCTTCCTGTTCCTCTCTCCTCTGGGTTTGGTGCTTGCCCTAAGCTTACCTATTTTACAATCTATATCCCACTCTATCTTGTCGGACACTCTATCACCCTACTCCCTACTCTCTCTCTCTCTGAAAGTTCCTTGAAAGGAAGCCCCTCAAAAGCAGGGACGCTTTCATAGCTATAGCACAAGAATCGAACATATATTAGGTTTTCAAATGTTGGTAAAATGAGTCAGTACAATGAGAAATAACAATGGCTTAGGTATTTTTAAAAAATATACTTCTTTATTGATTTCAGAGAGGAAGGAAGAGGGAGATAGAAACATCAATGATGAGAGAGAATCACTGATCAGCTGCCTCCTGCACACCCCCTACTGGGGATCGAGCCCACAACCCCTTGGCCCGAATCGAACGTGGGACCCTTTAGTCTGCAGGCCGTCGCTCTATCCCACTGGTTCTCAACCTGTGGGTCGCAACCCCTTTGGCGGTCGAAAGACCCTTTCACAGGGGTCGCCTAAGACCATCCTGCATATCAGATATTTACATTACGATTCATAACAGTAGCAACATTACAGTTATGAAGTAGCAACGAAAATAATTTTATGGTTGGGGTCACCACAACATGAGGAACTGTATTTAAAGGGCCAGAAGGTTGAGAACCACTGCAAGCCAAACCAGCTAGGGCACTTAGATTGTTTTTGTACAACTCTGATAGCTTTTCAACACATTATGCCAACTATAATTCTCACAATAATTAAGAGGCTGGAAGGAAAAGATACTGTTATTCAAAATGATAGAAAAGGAAACAAGCTCAAAGTTTCCTAAGAACACAGTGTTAATGTAATGACTGTCCCAGTATTTGAATCCAGGTCTTCTTACTCTAAATCCTGGGCTCTTCCCACATGCCAGGTTATAGAGAAATCCAAGCACAGAAATTTAGACCTGAGCTTTTATAGGTTCATCCGGAGTAAACATCATGTTTCAGAACCGTTATTTGAGCCTTCAGGGGGATAAGTTAAGTGGTAGCAAAGTCCTAAAACACAGCCGGTTCAGCTTCAACAATGAGAATCAAAGATATAAATTCAAGTTAGTTTGTTTTTTTTAAATCAAGAAACCATGAGATTCACTAATATAAGGAGATGAAGCACAGGGGAAATCTAAGATGGCCGGGGTTTTGTAATTTAGGCTGACAGGAATGGTGTGGGCTGATTAGAAAAAAGTGCTTAAGTTTATGGCATTAAAGCTCATCAAAATAAAAATAACGAAGCTGATTATCATACTTACCTAGGAATTAACTTGAGAAATTTGAGACGTTGCCAGGCGGCTGCTATTCACAACAGTATCTACAGAATGCCGCTGTTTAACAGGCATATAAAAGTAAGCAGTGTATTTGTCTCTACATAGAAATTTGACCTGCAGATATTATTAAACATGACCTGGCTATCAAGCTTTATTCTGTTTTAAGATTTCTTCCTGTCAGCAGATTTTCCCCGGTGGTTTAAACACAAGGTACCTTCAAGGCATCAAGCACAGCAACTGGGCTAAAATGTTGCCTCCTGCCGCTAAGAGCTCACTGAATATCCACCCACTCTGGCAGCTGACAGAAGATACCCCGATCTATTAACCACGCTTTTAGAAACTGCTGCGTATTCCATCCCAAAGGGAACACAGAGTGTGACTGCACTTCCGCAGGGAAAAATCCTAATTCCGGGACAAGGCACAGGGATGTAAGAGACGAGCATCCAGAGCCTCAAACTTGAAAGGCCGATTACTAGGAAGCGGCGGAGCAGCCAGCCCAGAGGAAGTGAAGCACAAAGCTGCTTCCGCAAAAGGTGTCAGAAAGAATCACAGGACAAGCAAGTGTCAAAACAAACAAAACCACGAGGCTCTGTGCTTGACGTGGGGGCTGCCTGGAGAGTTACCCTTACGCTGCTGCGCCACTGAAGGCGGATGCACATTCCGGCGCTACCTACATTTCGGGGAAGGCATCCCAGAGCCGTCCGGGGGTGGCAGCCTGGCCGGGGGCTGGGCCTTGGGATTCCCCAGCGGAGGCGGGGAGCGGACCGGACCAGAGAAGCTCCGGTGAGGGCGAAAACACTTGGACTAGCAGAGGCACGCCTAAGCGGCAGGACAAAGCCGATTTCAGGGGCTCCTCTCTCTCTCTCTCTTTCCTCCTCAGGGGTCCCGAGAGCCAGAGAGACCCCCAGAGGAAAGTCCCAACCCCGTCATAGAAGCATCCGGGCCGCTAAGCCTTTCTTACCGGCCGCTTCCCCTTCCCGCCGGAGCCGGCTCAAGCGCTGCGCGCGCAGCCGGAGGAGGGGGCGGGGAAACCGGCGCGGGTGACGAAGCGGGCGGGGGCGTGTCTGCGCCTGCGCAGTGCTCTTACGCTCGCGGGCAGCGACGCCTCCCGGCGTCGCGCTCCTGCGGCTCAGAGCTGGTGCCTCAGAGCTCGCGTCAGCGAACCTTCCGGCTGCAAGTGCGAATTCCTGCCTGTGGGGCTGGTCGTCTCGTCCTTTGCGCTCCGCGAACGCTCTCTCCATTCTTGTGGCATCCGAGGCAGCCAGCGAACCTCAGTGCCAAGGAAAGACAGAGAGGAACATACGGCAAGTCGCTTCTAATCTTTTTTTTTTAAACTTTATGTTTTATTGAAATATAATGGACATATAACACACTCTTTTCAGGTGCACAACGGAATGATGTGATATTTTAGCTTCTCTCTATTATTTACCATTCATTTTCTGAGTTGGCCGGACTGGTCCCGGCAATGTGAATGGATGTCAACTATAAAGGTAGAACTCAAAACGTCCAGTTATTTTCCATGTTGAACCTCATATGTCACTTTAGTGGCTTTAAAACTTTTTGACCCTAGACCACAGTGAACAAAAACATTCTACATCAAACCCAATAATACCTCATATGTGTGTATATAAATAAATATACCTGAAACAAAACCTTCACAAAACGTTTTTTTAAATTTTATTTTTCAACTAGTGACCCAGTGTACAAAAATTGTGCAGGCGGGGGTGGGGGTGGGGGTCCCTCAGCCCAGCCTGCACCCTCTCACAGTCCTGGCCCCTCGAGGGATGTCTGCCTGCCAGCTAAGGCCTGATCCCCAGCAGTCAGAACCGCTGCTGCACTCTTCTGACTGAGCGGTGCTTCCCCTGTGGGAGCGCACTGACAACCAGGGGGCAGCTCCTGCAATGAGCATCTGCCCCCTGGTGGTAAGTGTGCATCATAGCGACTGGTCATTCCACCATTTGGTTGATTTGCATGAGGGTTTTATTATATAGGATTACAGTTTACATTCAGTATTATTTTGTATTAGTTTCAGGTGTACAGAAGCATAGTGGTTAGGCAATCATGTACTTTAAACACAGTGGTCCCTGGGTGGTATTTCAAGTACCCACCTGGCATCATACATAGTAATTAACTACAGTATATGGTTGACTGTATTCATAAGACTTCATACTTACTATCAGCAATACACTAAATTTTTATTTCTTCTTTTTGGTTGCATTATGAAATATGCTAAAAGGGGACCCAGTGTCAGGAAAAATTGTTAAAGACTTGGAAATGAGTGAAAGAGATTGCTGGGTAAGGGTTAGGGTTGGGTTTGGGTTAGCCCTTTCACTGTAAGGCCGGGCATTGTCCAGCAGAAACTGGAAGGACTTGAATCCATTAGGACTTCTGACTTTCTATTGACTAAGCCAGTGGTTGGCAAACTGCGGCTTGGCAAACCACAGCTCACGAGCGACATGCGGCTCTTTGGCCCCTTCAGTGTGGCTCTTCCACAAAATACCATGTGCGGGTGCGCATACAGTGCGATTGAAACTTCATGGCCCATGCGCAGAAGTCAGTATTTTGTGGAAGAGCCGGTATTTTGCACCCTCTCACAGTCCCATCCCCTCAAGGGATGTCCGCCTGACTGGCTTATTTCGCTTAGCATAATGCTCTCCAGGTCCACCTATGCTGTTGCAAATGGTAAAAGTTCCTTCTTTTTATAGCAGCGTAGTATTCCATTGTGTAGATGTACCACAGTTTATTTATTTATTTTTTTTAAAAAAGATTTTATTGATTTTTTACAGAGAGGAAGGGAGAGGGATAGAGAGTTAGAAACATCAATCAGCTGCCTCCTACACACTCCCTACTGGGGATGTGCCTGCAACCAAGGTACATGCCCTTGACCGGGATAGAACCTGGGACCCTTCAGTCCGCAGGCTGATGCTCTATCCACCGAGCCAAACCGGTTAGGGCTGTACCACAGTTTGTTTTTGTTTTTTTTAAAATATATTTTATTGATATTTTACAGAGAGGAAGGGAGAGAGGTAGAGAGTTAGAAACATCGATGAGAGAGAAACATCGATCAGCTGCCTCCTGCACATCTCCCACCGGGGATGTGCCCGCAACCCAGGCACATGCCCTTGACCGGAATCGAACCTGGGACCTTTCAGTCCGCAGGCCATCGCTCTATCCACTGAGCCAAACCGGCTTCGGCTGTACCACAGTTTTTTAATCCACTCATCTGCTGATGGGCACTTAGGCTGTTTCCAAATCTTAGCTATTGTAAATTGTGCTGCTATGAACATTGGAGTGCATATGTCCTTTCTGATTGGTGTTTCTGGTTTCTTGGGGTATATTCCTAGAAGTGGGTTTACTGGGTCAAATGGGAGTTCCATTTTTAATTTTTAAAAAAATATATTTTATTGATTTTTTACAGAGAGGAAGGGAGAGGGATAGAGAGTTAGAAACATCAATCAGCTGCCTCCTGCACACTCCCTACTGGGGATGTGCCCGCAACCAAGGTACATGCCCTTGACTGGAATCGAACCTGGGACCCTTGAGTCTGCAGGCTGATGCTCTATCCACTGAGCCAAACCGGTTAGGGCTCCATTTTTAATTTTTTGAGGAAACTCCATACTGTCTTCTACAGTGGCTGTGCCAGTCTGCATTCCCACCAGCAGTACATGAGGGCTCCTTGTTCTCCACATCCACTGTTTGTTGATTTGTTGATGATAGCCATTCTGATAGGAGTGAGATGGTACCTCATTGTCATTTTGATTTGCATCTTTCGGATGATTAGTGACCTTGAGCATCTTCTATATATAAAAGCCTAAGTGGGAGAAAGCAAACAGGGGAGCAGAGGTGGGTGTGGGGAACCTCTGGGATTGGATAAAAAGTAAAATGATAGACACATAGTTAGCTGGGTGTAGGAATAATTAACATGATAACAATGAAGGAATTTGTGGTATCTGTCCTGACTCCCAGGCACATTAGGTTGTGCCTGAAGGGGTCTGGAAAAAGGGAAGTTATAAGTTACCCTTTCATTTCAAGGATATCCTATATAATAAAAGGATAATATGCTAATTAACCCTCATGCTGTCGCAAAGATGGTGGCACCCACAGCCAATAAGGAGGGAATATGCTAATTGACTGCCCCTCCCTCAAAGACGGTGGTGCCCACAGCCACAAGATGGCGGCGCCCAGTCCCCTCCGCCCCGCCTGGGCGGCAGGCACATGGCAAGGCCGGGCCTGCCCCAGGCCGCACACCTGCCTCCGGAATCCCCCAGTCCCCTCAGCCCCCCAGCTACCCAGGGCCAGCCTGAGGCACAGGCAAGCCTCAATGGCCAGTCACTATGAGGCGCACTGACCACCTCTTGATTCCTCCCCACAGCCGGCAGGCTCCGATCGCCTGATGGCGAACGGGGATCCAAGGGTGGATGGCATCAGGGGGTGGGGCCGTCTGCGGGCAGCCAGGGAAGATGGCCCTGATCACAGGCCAGGCCTAGGGCCTCTAGTGTTATCATAGATGCAAAAAAAACAGATAGGCTCAGTTAAGGTAAAGGTTGACCTTGTCAGTGAAGATACCTGCCTAGGAGGTGACTACCCATCATAACTGCTTTTAGTTAAAGTTTAACTTCAGACCATCCTTTGTGGTTACTTTAGGTCTTTGAGTTTGCAAGACTGCTGTGCAGGCCTTCTCTGAGCTTATCAGGTTAGCATGTGCCCCTGTTCGTCCACATTGCCAATGCTTTCTTCCAATTTTGTGGTTCATCTATATATTTTATTTAATGTTTCTTTTGATGAATAGAAGGTCATAATTTTACCAATTTATCATCCTATTTACTTAATTATTTTTAACGAAAAAATCTTTTTTTAAATTGATTTTAGAGAGGATGGAAGGGAGAGAGAGAGAAAGGGAGAGAAACATCCACGTGAGATTGATTGGTTGCTTCCTGTATGAGCCCCATCCCTGGGGATCAAACTGCAACCTAGGTATGTGCCTGTTTTAAGATATAACCTTGTAGGTAGATGGTAGAAGTAGAATGGAGAAGAAACAGACTTGACTCACCTGCTGTTGATAAATGTTTAAAACTAACATAACATTTTTAAGCCAAGTTTATTGAGGTATAATTTGCATGCAGTAAAATTCACCCTTTTTTGAATGTACAGTTCTGAGTTCTGACATGTATTATGTTAGTCTAGGTTATCCTTAAAGCAGATGCCAAAATGAAATCAAACATACAAGGGATTTAAAAATATTTTTTAGGACAACACTTGTAATAGAAATGAGGAGGGAACCAAGAAAGGCTGTGATCACAGTGCAAGCCTGATCCAAATGAAAAAGAATGTAAAAAAGTTGAGAGTGTCCTTGAATGCTAGGAAGTCTAAGGAAAGAACAGCAGGCAAGGTCTTTGGGAGTCTGAGCTAACATTGATCTTCTTAGGAAATTTCACAATGCACCTGCCTTAGTATCCTTGTTGTGCCCATTCATTGTCTGGGAATAGTCCATTGAAACATATCATTGGTTCAAATGTGGTGATAGATTTCTAGGCCCAGCAGCAAGGGCCTTTGGTTATTATGCTCCCTGTAGTTGAAAGTCTTGAGGCACATTCATGTGGCCATCACAAGTATAAAGTCATATAGCCTACTACAGTCAAGAAACAAATTATTTCCATCACTCCATAAACTAACATAACTTTAAAATATATATATGTGGCCGAAACCGGTTTGGCTCAGTGGATAGAGCGTCGGCCTGCGGACTGAAGGGTCCCAGGTTCGATTCCGGTCAAGGGCATGTGCCTGGGTTGCGGGCATATCCCCAGTGGGAGATGTGCAGGAGGCAGCTGGTCGATGTTTCTCTCTCATCGATGTTTCTAACTCTCTGTCTCTCTCCCTTCCTCTCTGTAAAAAATCAATAAAATATATTTAAAAAAAAAAATAAAATAAAAAAAAAAATAAAAAAATAAAAAATATATATGTGTATATCTATATATATATGTGTATA